TACAGGGACTGTAGGTTATGATGTGGCTCGGTGGTCTAGTGGAAAACGCTCTGGAGTTCGAAGCAGCTGGTCCCGAGTCCGAATCCCGGTGGGAACATCACTCACTGGGAGGCAGGTACATCTTAAATCCCGACCGATAGCTGCTACCTTGACGTGGTGGTCGGGCTTGCATATCACAATGACCCAACGAGCTATGCTGGTGGAACGCTTGTTCCCTCGAGGTCCTACCATACCAGAAAGGTCTGTTGGGTAGTGGTTAGACGAAAAGCAGTTACCGTCATAGTGTAAATTGCTACACTATGATGGGGGTCTGAGGGCGAAGTCGTACTGCTGCTAGCTGGATGGGGTGTGACAGCAGTAAGGTGTTTCCCTTGGATGACCAGCAGTGCCAAGCTGATGCTGCCTTCTCAGTGGAAGGGGGGGTTAGAAAAGGTCGGCCCCAAAAATAACACACTCCACCACGCCCCACGGTCTGCCGGGCCGGCGGTGTTGGTTCACTTGTCGTTTCCTTTCGCTCATCCGGCCCCAAAAATACAAAAATTCAAAATAATCATACTCAAAAGGCTGGGTGTGACAGGCCTCAAGCAGATGTCCGATGGGCTCTGCGGTCACACAAATCTCTTTCAGGTACCTTAAGAAGAAATAGCCTTCCACGGTGTGGGCAGCCGGGAAGTGTCAACCGCCCTCACAACTCTGTCAGCACCCAAGTTTCTTCTGACTGCTATCCTCCTCCTCCATCATTACCTTCTAATCTTCCTTCACGTCTCTTAATTAATGATGCTGCATCATCTTCAATTTCTCCTACCTCTGCAGCCTTCGACAACGATCTGAGTCCACAGAACAGTCCCTGGTCTCCTTAAACCACGCTCCAAATTACATATTGGAGCCTTCAATGTCCGCACCCTCCGTCAAATTGGCCAACAGGCTTCGTTGGCAAAGACTCTAGCAACTCGGGCATGGATGTGTGCTGTGTTTGTGAGACACGCATACAGGACCCAAGTGTGGTTATTCACCTGACCTCTCCTGACCAATCTGGTGAATCTGCAAAATTCACCCTTCGAGTTTCTGGAGATTCGATAGCTAGCTCTCGTGGTCTTGCAGGTGTAGGTATAGCATTAAGCACCAGGGCAGAAAACTCACTACTAGACTGGATCCCAGTTGATAGTCGCCTCTGCGCTATGAGGCTGAACGGCACAGTGAGAACTAAAAGGAATAGTGAGACTCGCCGTTGTCTCTTTGTAATCTCTGCTTACGCACCCACTGACTGTAGTTCGGATGAAGTGAAGGACGAGTTCTACCATAAACTGTCTAACCTCCTCTCGAAAGCCAAACGTTCGGACGTAGTGGTTGTTGCAGGTGACCTCAACGCACAGGTGGGTAGACTGAGTGAGGCAGAAAGGCACTTAGGTGGCACTTTCGGAATCCCAGCTGAACGTACAGATAACGGTGATCGCCTATTACAACTATGCTCAGATAACCGCCTATTTTTAGCCAGCACAAATTTCAGACATAAAGAAAGGCACTGTCTGACCTGGCGTCCACCGAGCTCGACTCAGCGATGGACACAGATAGACCACATTGCTATTAGTCATCGCTGGAGAGGATCGGTGGAAGACTGCCGCTCCTTCTGGAGTACGTGTTTGGACAGCGATCATGCGTTGGTCCGAGCACGTATATGCCTGCGTCTCAATGGACGTAGAAAAAATTTGGCAACAAAACCACTACGAGTTCTGCTGGACAACGAAAACACCAAAGCCGTGTTCAGTGAGAAGTTGGCTAGGCAGTTATCGGAACAAAAGACTGTCACTCATCCAGAAGAAGCTTGGTGCCATCTTCAGTCTACTGTAAAAGCAGCACTGGAGACTGTAGCCGACTCCAAGATAATGGCTAAAAAGAGCCAGTGGATATCAGCAGCTTCTTCCAAACTAATGGATGCACGTGAATGCATCCCTGCAGGCTCTGAGTACAATGAAGAGCGAGCGCAACTTAAAAATAAACTGACGAAAAGTCTGCGCAACGATCGTGAACAGTGGTGGGCAGCAAAGGCTAAAGAGATGGAAAAGGCAGCGGCGATCGGTAACAGTAGACAGTTATTTAGACTTATTAAGGAGACTGGGGGGAAATGGTCAACAACAGTTAGTGAGGTTATAGCGGAGAAGGACGGATCGGCGATTCACTCGCAGGGAAGGCGACTGGGACGATGGGCAGAACACTTTGAGGAACAGTTTAACTGGCCTCCAGCCACCATTGCGCTGCCCGCTATCCAGTCGGACCCTGAATGGGACATAGAGACAGGTCCCCCAACACTAGAAGAAGTTGAGAAAGCGGTAGGTAGCCTGAAACGGGAAGGGCAGCAGGACCAGACGGACTACCTGCTGAGGTATACAAGAATGGTGGTAGAGTTCTCTTAGTCAGGCTAACGGAAGTGTTAGCCAGTATATGGGAATCAAATACGATCCCCTCCGACTGGTCTAAGTCACTGATCATCCCAGTCTTCAAGAAAGGCGAGAAGTCCTCTTGTGATAACCACAGAGGAATCAGCCTGACAAACATAGTGTCTAAGATCCTAAGTTCTATAATTCTCCGACGCCTGAGTGGAGCTCGGGAACAGCAAGCCCGAGAAAACCAGGCAGGCTTTAGACCTGGCCGTGGATGTATCGACCAAATATTCACACTGCGCCAGGTCCTGGAACATAGGCATGCTTACAGACGCCCGACAATAGCTGTATTTCTCGACCTGAAGGCGGCATTTGACTCCGTTGATCGAGAAGTCTTATGGCAGTGTCTGTCACTGAAAGGCGTGCCTAGTAAGTACATCACCTTATTGAAAGCTCTCTACTCGAACACTTGTGGGCATGTTAGAGCCTATGGTGAGTTGTCCAGGGAGCTATACTCATCAAGTGGTGTCCGTCAAGGATGCCCACTATCCCCATTCTTATTTAATTTTATCATAGATATTCTTATGGAGGTTTCCCTCTCGTCACCTAATTACAAAGACGTTGACCGGATCACAGGTGAATTTTCCTTAGATCTAGAATATGCAGATGACATAGTCCTGTTAGGTGAAGACGCTGACAAGATGCAGAGTCTTCTGAACACTTTGAGTGGGAATTTGAGAATGTTTGGGATGCGATTTTCACCACCCAAATGCAAATTTTTGCTCCAGGACTGGTCTTCAGCGGTACCGCGGTTAACAATAGAGAGTGAAGTGGTTGAGTGTGTTGACCACTTCACTTACCTGGGAAGTAGGATCAACCTCGGTGGGTTAGTTGCCGATGAGATTTCTGCACGGATACAAAAGGCTCGATTGGCTTTTGCCAATTTGCGCCACCTATGGCGCCGCCGTGATATTCGTTTGTCTATTAAGGGTCGCGTGTACTGCACAGCAGTCCGCTCTGTTCTACTGTATGGCTGTGAAACATGGCCATTGAAAGTGGAAGACATGAGAAGGTTACAGGTATTTGACCACCGTTGCCTTCGTAGTATAGGACGTATTCCGTGGTGTCACCATGTGAGTAATGCAGAAGTTAGGTGTAGAGTTTTAGGGAGAAGAGGTAAGTCAGTCGACGAGGTTGTGAACCTTCATCGACTGAGATGGTTGGGACACGTACTACGTATGCCTAGTCACCGATTGCCTCGTCACACAATGTTGGCTGAGGTGGGTTCAGGCTGGAAAAAGGCCCGAGGTGGCCAGACTAAAACATGGCACCAATGTATGAAGTCTCTGACTGTTGGTTTAAGCCATGTAGGACGATGCAGACTAGGTGGTTGGGGTCCACGGGACAAGAGGAACCAGTGGTTGGAGACCCTAGGTGATATGGCTCAGAACCGAAGTCAGTGGCGCAGATGTATACACACATTATCCTCATCTTAACAACGCTATACCGAATCTCACTATTTTGTCACTCCTCTTTCCTTTCTTCTCGTACTTTATATTTCTTTTGACTGCATTCACTTATCTTCATCCTTCACCTCACTACCTTTTTACTTGATGTGCTGATATGAGGTGTGGCAACTCGGACCGTTACGCAGTAATGCCTGGTCCTATGTTGATAATGATGATGTAGGTTATGATATGTCTTAGAACTGATGTCAGTGGCACAGATATATACACACATTATCCTCATCCCAATCGCTAAACATAGTCTCATCATTTTCACATTTACCGTTCCATTATTTTACTACATTCTACTTCTTTTGACCGATTTCTGTCTCCTTCATTTTCCATTTTATTGCCTTGTTAGTTGATGTACTAATACATGAAGTGTGGCAGATTGGACCGTTACGCAGTAATACACTGGTCATATCTTGATTTTGATGATGATGGTCAGCAACAATAGTGAAACGGATGTCCTTTCAGGAGAAGGATACTATACAAGTCGATTGATGAGGTTGTGAACCTTCATTGACTAAGACGGCTTAAAGATGTACTGCGTGTCCCGTACCGACGCCACCTACCTCGATCTGTCGTCCTAAACGAAGCTGCATTTAGGTTAAAAGAGGGTTCAGAGTGACCAAATGAAGATGTGGCACCAGTCGAGGAAGTCTGTGACTGTTGGAGAGGTAGACTACCTGGCTGTAGTCCCAAGAATCAGTTGTTGAGGCCTAACTCTTGGTTACTTGTTGGAAAATCAGTCTCAATGATATGTGTTATTATTGATGAATAATCCTCACGTTAGAAAAACAAAACAGAAGAACTAACTTTTTACATTTTATGTATCCTTTGTATATTTGTAGATGTGATACATGAAGGGGAAGGTTTCATAAATCATCATGATACCTCAAGTACATCTAAAGAGTTGTACAGATGGGAATTGTTCTCATTCTCTCAATGTATTGGATTGTGTTACACATATTGAAAATTGTTTATCACGTGAAATTGCTGTGAATGGATTTGATTTTTTAAGAAATTGTTTTATTTAACTCCTGGTTTACTACCGAGACAATCATCATCATCATCATCATCTGCACAGAATAACTTTCAGATGACTTTACGTTCTATGAATACATTACCGTCAGTGGATTTCAACCCACAGGACTCTTTACAAATTTCCTCTACTCAAGTGAGTGACGAACATAAAATCAACTGCTTATTTAACAGTATAATTTAATCGCATATTTTCCCAGGTCGACTATCTTAAATGACCGTGGGTCACTAGTTCGAATCCCATTCCACCTAACGAGGTTTGACCAACTAGGTGGTATCACCTGATTGTCGCTGGTTTGAATCCGGTCGTGGTTCAAATTTTCATTTCACCTTCAATCATCACCCAGTAAAAATATTTCAATATTCTTGTATTCACATGATTTTTCACCCTATTTAATTATAACTCATTGCTACATAACGAATATGTATTTGATCCTTAGTAAACTGATGCAGTAGTAAGATATCTAGACTAGATAAGAAGAATGGCGATTGTTCTCCCTCAGTACAACTGCCTCATACTTCACTGACCCATAAAAATATTAGAATATCATTTATACACAACAATTCTTATGAATATATAAAACCACAAGGTCGGTAGGACAAAACTACGGAAACAGATTTATCTTGACCAGGTAGCGACTGATGATGTTGATTTCCAGTTAGGCCACTTTCTATCAATCAGACACACATTCATGTCCCATTTAGATGTATATAAATGGGTCATTATTAATGATAATTTATAGAGTTTGTGAAGACGGTCAGCTATTATTGTGACCGATTGTTCACTGGAACCATCCCACATCTGAATATTCTTTGTGGGTATTTCAACTACGGAAGTCGTGTGATCTTATTGGATGATGATTAGCTTTCAGTTTAAGTATAACAGACTGTAGATCAGGGTGAAATTTTTCACAGAACTGTATCATTTCAGATTTTTCTACCAGACAACTGCATAAAATGTGGAAGTAAGATGTACTAATAGTGATGATAATGTGAGCCACATCCATACATTTTGATATACCAGACTATGTAACATTGGCTGTGTCAGTTGCTGAGACTCAAACAGGTGGAACGGGGTTCGGACTCAGTGCCCATCGTTTGGAAGCTAGACTCCTAAGCCTTTGAGTGAGTTGAACATCTTTTATAACCTTCACTTATGTATGAAGTTTTTTTCTTATCTGTTCTTTTTCTCATTTTGTGCTGAAGAGCGTGGTAATTTAAAGAGATTCATTTGTGTTCAGTACTCTTTGTTGGTTCATCTCTAAACAATAATACTAATGTACCGAAGTAAAGCTATTTCTTTTGAAACAGTTAGTCCCTTTTATGACTTTCGATAGCGTAATTAGAAGAAGAAGTTTATCTGAACAATGTGTATGATGTATTTGCGCAATACACATTTCGAACAATCTGATCCCCCACACATTTACTTATCTCAAGTCAATATATATTAAACCGAGGACTGGGAGGGGGGGGGGGCGACAAATACAACAATTAACACAAACAGGGGATTAAAATTAAGAAAGATGAGAACAAACAGGAAGAAGAGTGACATAATTCATCCTAATCTTGGTAAGAAAACAAAGTTTACCAAGGGGTAGGTGTAGTGTAATAAACTATCTTTGTACATATAAAGGTGGTTTAAATTTGTGTATGGCTATGGCTTCCATAAATCTCAGAATACATCCCTGACTGACTGTTTCTATATATAAAACGTTGAAAGCTGTTTGAACATTAACTTTGTGACCTGTTTCTATGATATGTTTACCTATAGATGAAGAGGGTCGTCACCCACCGGCGTTTTCACTGTTTCACACTCCATTTGTTCCCGAAACCATTTAGGCACATGTTCTCCCACCCTCAACTGCATGACTCGAATACTTCTCCCTATGTTGAGGGTGGGTGGGTGACGACCCTATTCATCTATAGGTAAGCATATCATAGAAACAAGTCACAAAGTTAATGTTCAAACAGCTTTCAAAGTTTTATGTATAAAAACAGTCAGTCAGGGACGTATTCTGAGATTTGTGGAAGCCATAGCCATACACAAATTTTAACCACCTTTATATGTACAAAGATAGTTTATTACACTACACCTACCCCTTGGTAAACTTTGTTTTCTTACCAAGATTAAGATGAATTGTCACTCTTCTTCCTGTTTGTTCTCATCTTTCTTAATTTTAATCCCCTGTTTGTGTTAATTGTTGTATTTGTCCCCCCCCCCCCGACCCCCCAGTCCTCGGTTTAATATATATTGACTTGAGACAAGTAAATGTGTGGGGGATCAGATTGTTCGCAATGTGTATTGCGCAAATACATTATACATACTGTTCAGATAAACTTCGGCTTCTGATGACACTACTTTTTTGCTTTTGAAAGTACAGGCTGTCTGGTTGAGAGTAGTGTTGGTGGCATAGCTGGAAACCAGTCACAATTGCTCAGATCTGTTCACTTTTTGATATCTTCTAAAAGCTGAACATTCCCATTGACCCTAATTTTTAAATCCCCTCTTTCTCCTGTACACTTTTGTCTCCTTTTCTTATCCACTTGTTTTTTTTGTATACTGTTCATGGTTTGATACGCAAACAGTTGTACATGTCAATGTAGGCGATAGCTTGGTATGATGCCACCATATACGAGCAGAGGTAACATGATCAAAAACTTGTAATCTTGTCAAATCTGCTTTATAAACAACTATAGATAATCCGTCTAATAGAAGAAAGAGAACTGCAGATAACACAAATTGACGAATGATTTTGCACAATTCTGAATGCTATCACTTCATTTATACTCTGCTGTTTGTATTTTAATTCTTCAGTCAGATGTAATCAAACAAAGTAATCTCAGGAGTGATATTACGCCTATTGATGACAAGATGATGTCATGCTCTGAGTCAATAAGATTGGAGTTTAATCAACACACATTTAAATCAACCCCGAATTATATAATGCATCATGGTATTGATGCACACGTAGAGGATAACCTTAATGATGATGATGACGGCGAGGAGAAGAAGGAAGATAACAATGTCCAGTATTGTTAAAAACATCTACAAATGAGTCTGTGAATGAAATCGAATCAGTTTTTGAGGTATGGTTATGTTGGTGAAATAATTTACCTTTTTATTTCAATTTTTAAAGATATATTGTATTTCATGATGTTAGTTGATTGGAGGTAGTCGACAGGAAGCTGTGGATGTACGTTTCCTGCTTGTTGGCACTTCATCAACAGAGCGTATCTTGAGCCTCGATAGGATTGATATCCCGCCTGAGATATAAACACGCATCACCCGATGTGTTTTGTCTTTATCGAGATTACAAGTGAGGTATTTATGCCGTGATTGACTTGCAATGATTAATCACAAGTGAGCAACCGATTTGCTGTTGTCCGTGTACAGACGGAAATCTATCGATAAAAAAGATTTGAAGCGAATCATAAATTTCAGTAGGATACTCTACATAGTGTTGATCGGTGGATACCATTAAGGTGGCTTTCGGTAAGCGACTGACTCGATAATTATCGGAATTGAACAACATCACACTTATCCAGGAGAAGCCTGACGTTATCTCTAGTTTTCCGTAGAAACAGCATTGAAGACCGTTAGCCGACTTTCAGAGTGGTGGTCCACAGACGCATGGACTGCAAGACTACTACATAACTGGAAATGGTATGACTGTTTAGGGATTACACATCATCTATGTGCTAAGGATTCAAAGGAGGTTGTATAAACTTGTTCTGATTTCTGTGTATTGGTGTTGATTTCTTTCCTGTTTTGCTCAGATCCATTGTCAAGAATTTTTAATCCAATGTCAAGAAGCTGTACAGTCAGTGACATCAATTAAGATTTCGCCTGAAGAAGAGGCTGAACTTCTTTCCGTACTTTTTGATGATGTGGTGTGGAAAGATGATCTGCAACATATTTTCATATCAATAACTGAACAAATGTATTTAACCTGTATATATATCCAATACAAATGTTTATATGTAATATGGTTTGAGGTTTTTGAGTTGGTATTCATTGTGAGCTGATGTCAATAGTGGAATTACTAAGAGCCTGGACAGCTATTTCATCATAGTATAAGGCTCGTTAGCAGTACGCAACTATGACCCACTCACCAGGTCGGAGTTCAACAGTTCACACTTTCCTACTTCTATAAATTCATTATGTAGGCCGGACATTATTTAATGAACTTCGTGGTATTTTCCGAATTGGCAGAAATATGAGAATGTGAACTACTAAACTGCGACTTATTGACTGGGTGTTTGACGGGTTCGTCGTGTGAAACCTGAGGGTTCCAAGTTCGAGCCCTGGCTGGTTGGTACCACTGGGGAGTCAAATTCTGAGAAAAAAGGGCTGTGCAGAACTCAAAGGTTTTCAATAGGTTCCAACTGTTATTAATCTGCAATGAATACCACCTTATCCATATATATCGGGCTATGAATGTTCTGTTTATTCATGCATTGTTATTGTTAACCTCGCCTCGTTAAGTAGTTCACCAGTTAATAGCCGGTCCTAAGCCCAGATGAAGAGGGAAGGTTGGGCGTAGGGCTGGCAACCCTACCCGTTAAACCAATCCAATCCCTAAAGAAACTCCAAAGCACAAGGAAAATATAAACAAACTTATTCCTCACTGAAATCGGGGTGAGGAAATGACGCAAGTTGGTGAAAGCCTTCGAAAAGCCAGTCGGCCGATGTGTCTTCTCTCGATCAAAGCGAAAGTAAGCATAGGGACATGGAATGTCCACACCATGTATCAAGCTGGCTGGTTGGCTGAAAAAGTTGACCGAACTGCGAAAGAAATGAGAAGGTATGGCATGGAAGTGCTTGCAATCTGCGAAAGCAGATGGAACGAAAGTGGACTCTACGAACTGTTAACTGGAGAGTCAATAATCTACTCCGATATTGTCACCCAGACAACAACAACGAGCCCATTGAGTTTTGGAGTGGCTATCATGATGTCCCCAAGAACATAGAAGGTCCTCATGCAGTGGGAACCAATCTCCTCCACCATCAGCATCATGACAGCAAGACTCAACTAGAAACAAAGGGAAGTCACAATCATACAACGCTACTCTTATTACTATTACATTATTTATCCCTTGGGCTCCTAGTGGAACATGCGACGTCAGTAGCACGCCTCCATCCCACTCTGTTCTCCACAATCTTTTCATCTTGGCTCCACGACAGCTCACAATCTCTCATTTCTTCCTCGCATCATCTCCTCCGTGTCACCCTCGCCTCGGACGCCCAACTCATCGCTTCCCATTTGAATTCCACTGCAGTACCTGGCACGTGATGTCCCTGAATATTCTCAGTGCATGCACAATCCATCTCCACTTCCTTCCAGTGCATATTTGAGTCATAGGTCCTTGGTTGGCTCGTCACCAGCCAGCCAGAGTTCCTTGTTGCTGATTCTTTCTGGCCATCTGAGCTTCAGTAACGAGCCAGCGTAGGCCGTTGTTGATGAATCTGTGTAGTTTGTTGGAAATCCCTTTCGTAACGCGCCAAGTCTCTCGACCATAGAGCAGCTCTGATTTGACTGAATTAGTGTTGAAAATCCGCATCTTGTTCCACATACTGAATGCAGTGCAGAAGATCTCCACACTGGTTTCAGGTTAGTGAACGCCTGTCTTTGACGTCCTCGTCTGTGCCACCACCTGTAGTTGAAACAGTGCTGCCTAAATAGGTGAAAGGGGCTCAACTCGATTTGGAAGGTTCCTTGCACTAGATAGTGGTGTGAATCCAAATCTGCTCTTCTCCTCGATCTGATCCTGTGTCAAGTAGGCTGTTTCTCCACTTTCTTCAGATTGAGATGAAGTCGATCTGATTTTTAGTGTGTCCTTGTGTCTAGTGAAATCCATGTCGGTTTGTGAATGTCTTTGTATTTGTACACACTGCTTCCAATCACCAAATCGTTGAATGCGCAGAAATCTGCAAACAGTTCTCTATTCTCATTCATTTCATTGAGTGTTTCTCAACCCATGATCAGTTCTCTTCATTTGTTGTCCCCTCTCAGTTTCGTATTCATGTCACCTATTAGAATTTGATGTCGGAGTAATTTCTTTAAATAGTGCTTTGGGATACTCACATGAAAATTACTTTCTTCGATAAAATCCTAGATAGTTTCCATGAGTTGGACATTGGTGAAGAACAAAACCATATCCAAAGAAGTTATTTGCTTACCGGAATAAAGATCCTACACTACACTCCCCCTTATCTTCCTACCCTTTTTTTGGTTAAGATATTGGAAGTTAGTGTCAAACAACTTAGAATTAACCAGATCCCCTTTCCACTCTTCAGAATTAATAAAAAGTAATAGTTTCTCTAATTATTGATTTTATAGTTACTTTTACTTGGCACATAGACAAACACAAATATACAAAAGAGGATATATCCAAATCTGTTCATCTTCATATATATATATTCTCTGGCTTTCATTTACATGCGTTGACTAGAAGATTTCCATTTACTCAAGGCAACTCTACGCCTGCGTTCACTTTCCAACTGGACAATATGTTGCCAGTGTTGTAAACTTGGTGATTGATAACCACAGGTTAAACAATGAAATCTATAGTAGGAAAACAACAACAACAGCAACAATATTAGCGTGAATCTTGAAACTTATTGTATACACTTGCTCCGTAGGTACTCTATTCACAATAAGACATCACTGTAACAACACTTATTGCTCGACAGAGTTGAATGTCACCTTAACGTAAGAAATAAGGCAAGTGCCTGTGTTCGAAGACTATCCACAGGGTGAAATTATGATTGGTTCACTTTCGTTCCGGTCTAAAACCTGACTGGTTTTTTCGAAGACCAGTTAGGCGTCGGATAACTATGGAACCTAGGATCTTCGACACAATATTAGTCGGATTAATTCCGTACCGTTTGTCACAGGAAGACCTCTCTCGCCTTTCTCACACACTGCGATGATCAGTGAAGTAGACCAGTCTGACGTAACTACATATGATTCTTAAACACTACCTACTCTATCTTCAGCGACTTCCTTCCTCTATACTTGAAAACTTCGGGTGTCAAACTGTCAGGCCCAGCTGCTTTGTATCCTATCAGGTTGGGGGCACAGCCTTTTCAACTTCAAGGAGAGTTGATGGACCGACATCCACATCCCATTCAGGTTCGGACTGAATGTAGGGTAACCAAAGCGTCGCTGAAGTTCAGTTGAACTATGCTTAGCCTAACAGCACCGGAGAAATCAACGTACTATATACATACTGGAATTGAGATGTGCCCTACTGCGGGTAAGCGAATCGCTGAGGATATCTGTTTATAGGTCTATAATAGTCATAAACAGGAACTGTAACATCAAAGATCCTTAGGTTTTAAAACTGGTTGGCATCACCAAAAAATGATATCTCCCCATAAGTTGACGAAATGAAATCTACCGAACACTTTTCGAAACTAGTAAAAATCACTGCTCTGAATAATCTGCATCAAGATCAACATAAGATTTGACATCATTTTGTCACGGTCCGAGTTGCAACACCATACATCAAGTAAGAATATACTGAGATAAAGAATCCAGTCGAAATTGGTAGTAAGTCGTGAAAAGAACAAGGAGACATTGATGAAATTCAGTACGACAATATGTGGATACATCTGCATCAATAAGATCGATTCCGAAGGATATTAACTTGAGTCTCTAACCACTGGTTTCTATTATATCTCACATGGACCTTAACCGGGAAGTCTACATTTTCATACACGGCTCACACCAACTGCCGACAATATCATACGCTGATGTCATATTGACGTTTGGTAGTCTTTAATCTTTTGCCGCCCAGAACCTACATTCAACTAATATTGTGAGATAGGTCAGACGATGATTAGGCATATGCAACACATCTTAGTCATGTGAATCGATGAAGCTTTATAACTTCATCAGGTGGCTACGTTGTTGTTTGTCCCTTGGGTTCCTAGTGGAACATAGGACTTCAGTAGCACGACTCCATTCCACTCTCTTCTCTGTAGTCTTTTCAACCTACCTCCACGACTACCCAGATGTTTTCATTTCTTCTTCACATGATCTCCTACGTTAATCTACCTAAAGCTGTAAGTCTGACTTTTCATTTCTGACATCGTGGAACCATGAAATACGCCCTGTTACGAAGGCAATCATAGTCGACCACTCATGTGTTCCACTTTTGATGACCGTGTCTAACAACCATAAAGTAAGGCCGACAACTGCAGCGTAGTAGCAGTACACTCCCCTGTAAATAGGTAATTGCATAACACGATGGCGCCATCAATGGTGTAGATTGGCGAAGACCAATAGAGCCCTTTGAATCTTCGTACAAATCTGGTTGGTCAATGACCCAGCAGAGATGACTCAACTCCGTGAGTAAGTGAAGCCGTAGACGCACTCAACCAATCCTTCCATAATGCTATAGAAGGTCCCCACACACAAACTTTGATGACAAAACATTCATCTAATTCCTATTGATGACACAACCTCAGAAAATCAGCTCCACAAAGTCAGAAGTCACCCAAATTCGAAGTTAACATGGAACCTCGTACACAGGTGCGTCGGCTCAAGTTGACAAACTTCACAAAGAACAGATAGATAGGAAAGGAGTGGTTTCAAAGTTGTGAAAGCGTCCGCCTTCAGTAGATATGCCTGCGTTCAAGAACCTGTCGTAGGAAGAAATATTACCGACGCATCCTCATACAGGTCTAAAACCTGACTGGTTTTTCCGAGCTTCAGTTAGGCGTCGGATAACTATGGAACCTAGGATCTTGACACAGTATTAGTCCAACTGATTCCTCCTCTATGGTTTTCATAAGGAAGATTCTTGTCCCTTCTCATAGACTGGAATGATCAGAGGAGCGGACTACTTTGACGCGACTACCCCGGTTACTCTACTGAGTTATCTCTTACCCCCATACTTATAATAGTTGGGTCCCGGTGTTTTGCATCGTCTCACGTTCAACTCCTAGGATAGATGAAAAACAGATATCTACGTCTTACTTAAGTTCTGGCTAGATGTTGGGCATGTGAAACGTTGCTGACAACCAGTTGAACTATGCTTTACAATCTCCTCCTTAACGTTTTAGCCGCCTGTCATAATGCTGACGTTTTCTCCATCGATCTCAATGTCGTTACCCATCGTTGTAAGACTTTTGGTCAATTAATGCTGAACTAGTTTTCCATAAAAGTCTCCAGTGCATAGAGTAAATCATACTTTTCAGTCTGAATATATCGATGTTCAAATGTCACAGTGGAATTTTAAAATACCCGAATGTTTTGCATCTCAATGCTTTTACCAACTCAGCTATAAGATCAAATGTTGGCCATATCATTTGGTAGTTAATGGAAATAAATAAAGTCTTTTAGGTGAATGATTTGACCTGTTTTGTAATAATCAAACTATGTGGCAATAATTATGTTTATCTGATATTCAAGGTGTAGTCGACGCCATCGAGTGCCATCTGGTCATCTTGAATCCTCTTCCAAGGTTATCCAACTCCCCCCTAGCATAGTACGTCAAGATAGGCTGTGGTAAATCTGCATGTGCAGTACATCTGCAGTCCATCTCAGTCAATGAAGGTTCACAGCTTTATCAATCGATTTGCCGGGTACTCTAAACGTGATCTCAACAGTGGTCGCCCATCTAAATGTTGAAAAGAAGGTGTTTACTCACATTCCATTCGAAGGGATATAAATTATCCAAGAGAATAGAGATAGCCAAATGTGTATCACTTCACTGAACTAATTCCTCATAAGTTTGTGCTTAAAAGGCAACAAGATTGTAACCATTGAAACAGGCAGAAATCTTAGAGACACAGAAAACCAGGTTCATATCTCGAGTTTTCCAAATTAAAATAATAAAACTAAAGAGAATGTCTGGATTCCTACAACTTCGTGGAATGGATTGTTATAAAACACTTTCAACTGGTCACCAGCGTATACACATCATCATCAAGATCAATATAGGTCTACTACTAGGCTTTACTGTGTAACGGTAACGGCCACACTTTATATATCAGCATACCAAATAACGGGGCAATAAAATGGAGCATGAAGAACGAAAGGATCATCCGTCAAAAAAGTAGAAAGTAGTAAAAGAGAGTAAGGAAGAATGAGAAAGTAATGAGGATAATTTGTCTATACATCTGTGCCACTGACATCGTTTGTCAGCCATATAATCACCTCATCATCACCAATATCAACAGGGGACCAGGCATTACTGCGTAACGCTTCAACTTGCCACACCTCATATCACTACATCAAGTAGAAAGGTAGTGAGGTGAGGGATGAAGATAAGAGAATGCAGTCTAAAGAAATATAAAGTACGGAAAGAGAGAAAGGAAGAAAGGAAAAATGATGAGATTCGGTATAGCGTCGTAAGATGATGTATGTAAGATGTATGTATACATCTGCGCCACTGACATCGGTTCTGAGCCATATCACCTAGAGTCTCCAACCATTGGTTCCTCTTGTGCCACAGACCCCAACCACCTAGTCTGCATCTCCCCACATGGCTTAAACCAACAGTCAGAGACTTCATACATTGGTACCATGTTTTAGTCTGGTCACCTCGGGCCTTTTTCCAGCCTGAAGCTACTCCGGTCAACATTGTGTGACGAGGCAATCGGCGACTAGACATGCGTAACACATGTCCCAGACAGCCATCTTAGTCGATGAACGTTCACAACCTTGTCAACTGACTCACCTCTTCTCCCTAAAACTCTACTCCTGACTTCTGCGTTACTCACATGGTAACACCACTGAATACGGCCTATACTACGAAGGCAATAGTGGTCAAACACCTGAAGCCTTCTCATGTCTTCCATCTTCAATGGCCATGTTTCACAGCCATACAGTAGAACAGGCTGGACTGCTGTGCAATATACGGCACCTTTAATAGACAATTGGATACCACGGCGGCGCCTTAGGTGGCGTAAGTTGGCAAAAGCTAGCCGAGCCTTTTGTATCCGTGCAGAGATTTCATCAGCCACTGAGCCATCAGGGATGTTCCTACTTCACAGGTAAGTGAAGTGGTCAACACACTCAATCACTAACACTCTTTATTGTTAGCCGTAGCACCGCTGAAGACCAACTGTGGAGCAACAATTCTCATCTGGGTGGTGAGAAACACATCCCAAACATTCTGAAATTCTCATTCAAAGTGTCCATAAGACTCTGCATCTTATCAGTCTTCACCCAACAGTACTATATCATTTCCATACTGCAGGTCAAAAGAAAATTATTGTGATTAGGTCAACGTCTGTTTAATTAGGAGACGAGAAAGAGACCTCCACGAGAATATCTCTGATGAGATTGAATAAGAATGGAGACAAAGGGCATCCATGACGAACACCACTCGATGAGCATAGGCTCCCTGGACAACTCGCCATAGGCCCTAACATGCCCACAAGTGTTCGAGTAGAGAGCTTTCAATAAGATGATGTACTTACTCGGAAACCCTTCCAGTGAGAGACATTGCCATAAGACTTCTCGATCAACAGAGTTGAGTGCCGCCTTCATGTCGGGAAATACAGATAGTGTTGGGAATCGGTAAGCGTGCCTATGTTCCACAACCTGGTGAAGAGTGAATATTTGGTCAATACACCCGTGGCCGGGTCTAAAGCCTGCCTGCTTTTCTCGGGCTTGTTGTTCCTAAGCTCCACTCAGACGTCGAAGAATTATAGGACCTAGAATCCTAGACACTATGTTCGTCAGGCTGATTCCTCTGTGGTTATCACAAGACGACTTTTCACCTTTCTTGAAGACTGGGATAATGAGTGACTTAGACCAGTCAGAGGGAATCGTATTTGATTCCCATATACTAGTTAACACCTCCGTTAACCTGACTAAGAGCACCTTACCACCATACTTGGTATACCTCAGCAGGTAGTCCGTCTGGTCCTGCTGCCCTTCCCCGTTTCAGGTTACCTACCGCTTTCTCAACTTCTTCTAGTGTTGGGGGGCCTGTCTCTATGTCCCATTCAGGTCCGACTGGATAGCGGGCAACGCAATGGTGGCCGGAGGCCAGTTAAACTGTTCCTCGAAGTGTTCTGCCCATCGTCCCAGTCATCTCCTCCAGCCTGAACCTACCTACTTCCGTCAAGATTGTGCAACGAGGCAGATGATGGTTAAGCATACATAACACATGTCCCAGCTAGCCATCCTAGTAGATGAAGGTTCACCACCGTCTTACACCTCCCACCAAAAACTCTACGCCTGACTTCTGTCACAACACGAAACACAATCTATGCTACGGTAATCAAACACAAGAAGCCTTCTCGTGTCTTCCACCTTCAATAGCCATATTTCACAGTCATATAGTAGAACACCGAGAGGACTGTAGCAGGTATACTCGATCGTTAATAGATAACCAGATATATCAGCGGCGCCACAGATGGAGTAAGTTGAGGAAAGCCAATCGAGACTTTTGTATTCGTGGAGAAATTTCGTCGACCACTGACCAACGCACCAGGTCTGATCCAACTTCTCAGATAAGTGAGGTGTTCAACGCGCTCAACCACTTCAATCTCTGTTGTTAGTTAGGATATCGATGAAGATCAGTTGTGTAGCAACAATTTGCATTTAAGTGTACTACAATTTAAGATAAATTTCCCACCTTCAAAATTGTTGTGTCCAACTACAAATTTACATAAATAAAAACCGAATTTATATATATGAGCAAACAACAACTGCTACTCAGAAATCCTTTATATACGTTTTGAAATTCATTCTGATGGGAAGCATTTAATGATATACAAAAAAAGGAAAGTACTTACCTGAGTAAACACAACATGATAGCGAATTCATCAGCTTCAATATATGTGGATTTCTCTTTACGCCATTGGACAAAATCTTGATTAATACGCTACAAAGCAGACAAACAGGTGTATACAAGACATTTAGTTTACAATATATAACTTGTATTATTATTATTATTTATTTGTCCTTTGGGTTCCTAGTCGGATATGGGGCTTCAGTAACGCGTCGACACTTCACTCTCTTCTCTCCAGTCTTCTCAACCTGGCTCCACGATTGCCCACAACCTTTCATTTCTTCCTTACACCATCTCCTCCATATTACCCTCACACCGAACGCCCAACTCATAGTTTCCCATTCCCCTTCCACTCGACGATCTGGTTTGACATATGGTGTACCCAAACCGTCTTCTAATTGTATGTTCAATCCAATCCGTCTACACCTTCTCCCCTGCATATTTGTTACGGAAGTGTGTTGCTTGTTGCTTATTCTTTCCGACCATCTCATCTCATCTGATCTGGTCATCAGCATCGAGTGAGCGTAGGCGGCAGCTGTTGATGAATGATGTTTGCAGTTTGTTGGAAATGTTTTTTGTAACGTGCTAACTCTCTCAATCATCACATGGAAGCAGTGACTTACTTGACTGAATTAGTGTTGAGAATCCAGATGTTGTTCCACATGCTGAGTGGAGTGAAGTGGAGTAGAGTAGATCTGCACACTGATTTAAGGTTAATGAAGGGTGGACTGTCTTTCTGTTCTTCCCATACTGGCTTTGACATCCTCATCTATGCCTGTGCATGTGCCAGTGCCTGTAGTTGGAACGATGCTGCCTAGGGAGGTGGATTTCTCCTGTTTGTGGTGACTGATGTTCGTTGTTCCTGGTGGTAATGTTGTTGGTTGGGTATCTTCATCACCACTGTCTTCTCTACGTTCACCTGAAGGGAGTCCTGTCTTCCTTCGCTGCCTCGCCTCCTCTGTCAACTGGTTGGTTTTTCGCTGTACATTTTTGAGTTTGTTCGACATTAGACATAAATCATTATGGGTGAAATCCAAATCTTCTAGGGTCTTTTCATCGGTGAAACGGCCTATGCTCATCTTCTCGCTCTTCACGGTTTGATGTAAGCGTTAATCGTGATAACAGTCTTTGATGTATGTGTAGGAATATACATACAGAGGAGAGTGGATAAAGTATCACAGACCATGACGAAACAGCTGTTCAGCTCTTCCAGATTTCCAGTGTTTCTTTAGGTGGTGTGAATAAATAAATCCTCCCAAACCTCACTTGGATGAGTAGGGTGTTATGCAACACCCCTTTCTTCCTAGAATCATAATTACATTAAATTATCAAAGTGATGAGAATAATAAAGTTCTAGGATGTTTTTCAATTCATAATGATCACTCGCTATTATACATACAAAGACACAGGAAAGATTGACTAAAGCAGAATGTTGGCGATTTCAGTAGAACATTTCATACAAAGTACACAGTATCAGCTGTTAGTAAAGTGAAAAACGAAAGCCTATAGACAAAAATCAACTTTCTACTATTGTAGAGTGCTAGTAGTATATGCTCATCAATCTATGTAGGGCTATGGCTTATTGGTTTAAGCAGACAACTTTCAATCAATGCGGTCATGGGTTCAAGATCTACCCCACCTGTCGTACCTCATTGTTTACTACTGAAGGAAGATGTACAAGGTTCTCAATTCGACTATTCAATCTACGCGTAATTCGTTTAGTCATCCACAAAGTTAAACTTTGGTTCATCACCTATTAAGGCTTGAAAAATTGGATTAGATAAACATCTTCAACCCTCCTATAATGAGGAACAAGGAAATGTACACGATTCCATGAGTTAACAGTTGCCTAAGGTTATTTAGACTATACATTTTTTTTTCTTTGTAAAGTGTTGATTAGACGAAATCTCTACATGAACACAAATTATTCATTTTGTAAGTCTGCTTGGTTTTGTTGTGGTATATGAAGAATAAGGATATTGCGATTGTATAGTCAATTTTCTTTCAATCTAGAGGTTTGCGTGGGGAGTTGATTAATTTTAAGTTGGCATACATTATTGAACGGATATCAGTTGGAAGGATCACCGGAAGCCTGGGAGTGTCAGACACCTGTTTTGTCCTGGTATGGGGATCCACGACGACCTCGCCTCACCAGGTTCTGCAGCCAGCACGTTACCAATGAGCTAACCACTTGGTCAGAATCCAATGGTCCATATTCCCGATTTTTGTCCGTTCACGACAGCATTGAGTATTTTCCTCATGACCACTAGGTTTGCCTCACTAATCGCGACTTCTCATTGAAACTTCAAGAGTCACCTTTGGAAGTCAGTCGCCAATGAGCAGTAGATTAATTTAATTTGGAGGTTTGTGGGGGGATTTATTGATTTCAAGTTGATCGTGACCAGTGAGTCAAACCTGGTGGACGTGAGAACAAATACTCAACGATGACATTGGGTAGCGGTCACGCTACGTCGTGCACTGACAGAAATTTGAAATATGGACCACTGGATTCCAACTCAATGCTAACGTGCTGGTAGCGGAACCTGAAGGTCATGGGTTCGATACCTGGCGCACTGTTGAGGAGTCCCATACCACGACGAAACAGTCCAATGCTCCTCCCCCATGATGAATACCACCCTGGAGCTTATTTTCTGCCTAATATTCTTTAAACCGCAACTAACCCACTAGTCTAGCTAGGCATTCAAGCAGTAGGGTGGTTAGTTTGAGCCCCGATCTGATTACCGTGATCTCAACAGCCGAGTAGTAGTATGATTAGTTCAATTCCAGTTAGTCTCAGTCCATTGAACAAACTGTTGGACAGCTTTAATACTAACTACCAACCTTTTATTCACCCACCGCTATGCTTCACATTACATAAGGGAGGGGGTGGCGAGCGCGACACCGTATATCATTGTTGAACTGCTGCTCCAGCTGCTTATAATTAGGTACGCAAAACATGCTTCTGTCAGTGTGTAAATGAATCCTTACAAAATGTACTATAAAAGATAAAAACGAAACCAAATACGCGTGCATACCTCTTGTATTTCTGAATCTATTGAATACCGTTGATTACTACAGCTTAATATTGTTAGAAATTTTCGCATTTCATTCCAATCACTCTCAGAGACATCATCATCAGCATTGCTAGTATTGTTATTCAAGGGTTGTGATTTATTATTGTGATCATCATCTTCAAGGGTGTTTAGCTCCCATGGTAACAACATGACACACTTGGAGGAGAGAAAAGGGAATGAAAAGACAAAAACTTCATTTATCATATACGGTTGAGCATAGGACTAGCAACCCTACCCGTTAAACCAATCCAATCCCCTAAAGAAACTCCAAAGCACAAGGAAAATATAAAAAATATAAACACACTTATTCCCCACTGAAATCGAGGAGAGGAAATGACGCCAGTTGGTGAAAGCCTTCGAAAAGCCAGTCGGCCGATGTGTCTTCTCTCGATCAAAGCGAAAGTAAGCATAGGGACATGGAATGTCCACACCATGTATCAAGCTGGCTGGTTGGCTGGAAAAGTTGACCGAACTGCGAAAGAAATGAGAAGGTATGGCATGGAAGTGCTTGCAATCTGCGAAAGCAGATGGAACGAAAGTGGACTCTACGAACTGTTAACTGGAGAGTCAATAATCTACTCCGATATTGTCACCCAGACAACAACAACGAGCCCATTGAGTTTTGGAGTGGCTATCATGATGTCCCCAAGAACATAGAAGGTCCTCATGCAGTGGGAACCAATCTCCTCCACCATCAGCATCATGACAGCAAGACTCAACTAGAAACAAAGGGAAGTCACAATCATACAACGCTACTCTTAATACTACTATATTATTTATCCCTTGGGCTCCTAGTGGAACATGCGACGTCAGTAGCACGCCTCCATCCCACTCTGTTCTCCACAATCTTTTCATCTTGGCTCCACGACAGCTCACAATCTCTCATTTCTTCCTCGCATCATCTCCTCCGTGTCACCCTCGCCTCGGACGCCCAACTCATCGCTTCCCATTTGAATTCCACTGCAGTACCTGGCACGTGATGTCCCTGAATAGTCTCAGTGCATGCACAATCCATCTCCACTTCCTTCCACTGCATATTTGAGTCATAGGTCCTTGGTTGGCTCGTCACCAGCCAGCCAGAGTTCCTTGTTGCTGATTCTTTCTGGCCATCTGAGCTTCAGTAACGAGCCAGCGTAGGCCGTTGTTGATGAATGTGTGTAGTTTGTTGGAAATCCCTTTCGTAACGCGCCAAGTCTCTCGACCATAGAGCAGCTCTGATTTGACTGAATTAGTGTTGAAAATCCGCATCTTGTTCCACATGCTGAATGCAGTGCAGAAGATCTCCACACTAGTTTCAGGTTAATGAACGCCTGTCTTTGACGTCCCCATCTGTGCCGCCGCCTGTAGTTTAAACGATGCTGCCTAGATAGGTGAAGGAGGTTACATCCAGTAAGTTTCTCCTGTTGATGGTGATTGGAGTTTGTTGGTGGTGGTAGTGGTGGTGCGTTATCTTCATCACCTCTGTCTTCTCTACCTTCACTTGAAGTCCCGTCTTCCTTCGCTGCCCTGCCCTGCCTCTTCTGTCAACTTGTTACTTTTCGCCTGTAGATCCTCAAGTTTGTGCGACATTAGACACAAGTCATCGTTGGCGAATTCCAAATCTTCTAGGATCTTTTCCCGGTCCAGTGTATCTCCCTCTTCTCGCTCCCCACTGTTTGTTGCATGATCCAGTCCAGTTGGCCACAACACAATCAGGAATATCATGGGTGATAGTAAGCAGCCTTGTTTCACTCCTGTTCACTTCACCTCAAACGCATCACTGACCTTCCCATTGTGAATTACTTGGCATGTGACGTCTTCATATAGCTAGCTGTTGAATGAGATTGATAAAGGTTTGCGGTATTCTGTAGTGTTGAAGCAGCTGCTTGCCAGATTACTTGTCAGTTGACGCTGTCAAAGGCCTTCTCAATGTCGATAAAGTTGACTGCCATTCTATACTCTGTTCTATGATGATGCGTAGCCTGGTGGTGCAATTTGATCCGCACATGATTTGTTCTTTCTGAAGCCAGCCAGTCTATTCCCGTGGTAATTTTGAATCCAGATCATCTTTTAGTTTCTCCAGGATGATGTGGCATAATATTTCTCTTGGGGTGGACAGCAGCATGATGCCATGGCAGTTCTTGCAAACACTTAGGCAGACTTTCTTCGGGAATTTGACAAGGTAGTCCTTCTTCCGATGGGCAGGTACCTTTCTTTACTTCCTTCCAGACCTTCTGTTGAACTTGAACATTGGTCTATCACGAAGTTCTTTGAAGGCTTTCAACTCGATTTGGAAGGTTCCTTGCGCTAGATAGTGTTGTGAATCATACAGTGAGAACCAGTCTCCTCCAGAATCATAACAGCAAGATTCAACTCAAAAGGAAAGAAAGTCACAATCATACAATCCTACTCTACACACCTACAAATAATGCAGATCAAGAGAAGAAAGGGGGAATTCTGCAGACAACTGCAATCAGCACGTGATAAGACACCACAGTTGGCGACATCAAAAGTGTAATGGGTGACATGAATGCCAAATTGGGAGTGGAAAACACAGGAAGAGAACTGATCATCAGTCGATAAGCAGATTACAAGCTTTGCAAGAACTGGCGCGAAATCATGCCCCACAGCCCCCAAGCAAAATATTAGGCCGAATCATCATGGAGAGACTAACCAATGCTCTAGATTCAACTGGATTATGACCGGAACAGGCTGGCTGGTTAAGGAATAACAAATCATGCACGGATCAAATTGCAACATTACACATCATCACAATGAAGAGACAGAAGACAGCGACACCAATTGAAGAAACAGAAGACAGATACGATTTATTGTCAACAATTGGAACGGTAGTCGTTACATATGGCGCACCTTGCACTAACCCCGTCATTTGCGAAATGTGCTTCGTTTCCTCTTCTCTTCCCCTCTTGATCTCATCTTTATACATTCTTATCAGCAGCATCCACTGTAATACGCCTGAGTTATCCCTTGCGTTGCTCTTGGCAGAATTCTTACTCATTGCCGGTACTTCTCTATGATTCCAGCCACCCTCTCAACATATACTACTTGTTTGTTATCCATTGTTATCAGCAACGCCGACTACAGGAGAATAGAACACAGAGTGGCAATCAACTCTATACCTCAACGGCATCGAACTTGAAAAGGCCTTCGACAACGTCAACCGAGACATAATTCGGCAGTTGCTTTAACACTACGGTTTAGGTGACACAAACCTTTATCAACCTCATTCAACAGTAGCCATATGCTACATGACGAGTGATTCACAATGGATGGCTCAGTGACAACATTGAAGTGAAAACAGGAATGAGACAAGGCTGCTTACTATCACTAATGATGTGTAATGTCGCACAAACTCAAAAATGTACAGCCAAAAACCAACCAGTTGACAGATAAGGCAGCGGAAACAGGACTCCCTTCAAATGAACGTAGAGAAGACAGTGGTGATTAAGATACCCAACCAACAACAACAACCACGAACACCAGTCACCACAAACAGGAGAAATCTAAACGAAGTTGTCTCTTTCACCTACCTACCTACCTACATAGGCAGCGTCCTTTCAACTACAGGCAGTGGCACAGGCATAATGAGGATGTCAAAGCCAGGATGGGAAGAACAGCAAGACAGCCCTCCCTTCATTAACCTGAAATCAGTGTGCAGATCTACTCCACTCCACTCAGCATGTGGAACAACATCTGGATTCTCAACACTAATTCAGTCAGTGCTTCAATGTGATGGTTGAGAGAGTTAGCGAGTTACGAAAAGCATTTCCAACAGACATTCATCAACAGCTACCGCCTACGCTCACTCGATACTGATGATCAGATCAGATGAGATGAGGTGGTCGGAAAGAATAAGCAACAAGCAACACACTCTTCCGTAACAAATATGCAGGGGGAGAAAGTGGAGATGGATTGGATTGAACATACACTGAGAAGATGGTTTGGGTACACCATATGTCAAACCAGACCATCGAGTGGAAGGGGAATGGGAAACGAAGAGTTGGGCGTTCGGTGTGAGGGCGACATGGAGTAGATGATGTGAGGAAGAAATGAAGCTTGTGGGCAGTCGCGGAGCCAGATTCTGAAGACTTCAGAGAAGAGAGTTAAATAGTGATAGTAGAAAACACCTAATATATATAAATCAGCAGCAGCAGCAGCAGCAGGAGCAGCATATTTTGATAGTTGAGTATATGTTGTATTAGCTTACTTTAACTAATGATGGTACGATTGACAGGATAATTACACGTACATCTGTATCCCATTGTTGAGTATAAAATTGAAAATCATATGTTAAATATTGATTAATTGCTACAGATTGTAATGCTTGAAAATTTATTATTCCTTTCGTGTGTAACTGACCAGAATCCATTGCTGTTTCATTGACTAGTATCTGTTCAAGATTTCAATAAATAAATAAATAAATAAAGTATTCAATGAATCAATGAACAAATCAACAAATTAATGAGCCTAATTATGCTAATGATGGGCAGTGGCTAGCTGTGGAATCAAGGATGCGCATTTCGTCCTATTCGGGACTCGTCAGCTGGATGTATCTGCTTCCCGGTGAGTAATGTTGTTCCCACCAACGCGATTCCAACTCGGGAGCGATCGCTTCAAACGCCAGCGCGTTATCCACTACACCAACAAGCCACGATAGCTACTTCTTGTGCGACGGGTATAGTTCTTAGTATATAATTGTTTTTATATGATACCGTCGTTGATTGGACCGAATTAATTGGTCTCTATTGGCATATAGGCTCATGTGAGGATGCCTCGATATTGCCAGCGGGGGAACAACATCACTCCGCACTGCGAAACAGGTACATCCAGCTGACGAATCCCAAATAAGACAAAATGCGCATCTTGGATTCCACTGCTAGCCACGATCCATCATTAATATAATTAGATTGTTGGCAATATCGAGAAAACCAATCAATCGATAAGTCGATAAAAAAAATCAATAAATCAGTAAATAATTATAATGAACCATTGTATAAATCAATGAATCGATGAGAAATTAACCAATCAAGAAACTAAATCAACTTCATAAAAATCAATACATATATCGTTGAAGAGATGGATAAATCAATTGACAACATCGACAAAAAAATAAATCGAAGAAATCAACAAGCCGACAATCTCGCCTGACGCGTAATGCACCCAAACCGTCTTCTCAGTGTTTGTTCAACCCAATCCATCTCCACTTTCTCCCCCTACAGATTTGTTGGGTGATAGCTTCTCGCTTCGTTGGTTCGTTGTCAGACAGAGTGAGTTCCTTGTTCCTTATTCTTTTCGACCATGTGATCTGATCTGATCTGATGATCAGTATCCAGTGAGCGTGGGCGATAGCTGTTGATTAATGTCTGTTGGAAATGCTTTTTGTAACTCGCTAACTCTCTCAACCATCACATGGAAGCACTGACTGAATTAGTGTTGAAAATGCGGATGTCGTTCCATATGCTGAGTGGAGTGGAGTAGAGTAGATCTGCACACTGATTTCAGGTTAATGAAGGGAGGACTGTCTTTGGCTTTACAACAGAAACCACTAGTACTTGGAGAGTCAAGGTTATGATATGGCTGAGAAACGATGCCAGCGGTGCAGTTTTGCTGTTCTTCCCATCCCGGCTTTGACATCCTCATTTATGACTGTGCCACTGCCTGTAGTTGAAAGGATGCTGCCTAGGTAGGTAGGTAGGTAGGTAGGTAGGTAGGTAGGTAGGTAGTCCTGTCTTCCTTTGCTGCCTCGCCTCCTCTGTTAACTGGTTGGTCTTTGGCTGTACATTTTTGAGTTTGTTCCACATTAGACATAAATCATCATGGGTGAAATCCATATCTTCTAAGGTCTTTTTATCGGTGAAACAGCGTATACCCATCCTCTAGCTCTTCAGTTTGTTGCATGATCCATTCCACCACGCAGTCAACAATACGCCAAACCTTTTGTTTGATGGTGAATGAATGATTCTACTTGGCTACCTAAATTTTGGAGAGCAGATTCGGGTTCGAATCCATGATTCAGCAGTTCGAAGTCCAAAGCGTAGATCGATGAGGCATAGCTCCACACAAAGTTAACTGATGCATACGAAAGATTTCCATGCAAGTGTTTATGCAGATTAATTTTTTACACGAGTTGACTAGTTTTGTTTGCTGTAATTTAGTATTCCCTGGCCAACCCCTTCTCCAATAGGTACACAAACGACTGAATTGTCAGCAGCTATAATCATACCATTCAGTGGAAGTAAAAGGTATACTTCAAATCCCATTATCTTCTTCTTCTCCTTCTAGTGTCAGCTGGATATCGTGTGATAAGAAGTTCATTGTCTTACTGTTGATTGCATCGTGTCGAGGCATTACACATCGTTCAATAATGGTATACTCCAAGCCAGCGAAAATGAGGATAATCATTTCCTACGAAAAATAGACTTTGGCTATCTGCTCACCACCAACTTACCTTCTATTGAAAACACTTCAATACTCAACAATAAGGTACAATTTATTTAAATCATGCCTAGCCGTCATCTGCCTCGTCGCATAATGTTGACCAAGGTAAAGTTCAAGCAGGAAAAAGATTCGCGGCCGTCAAACTAAAGCATGGTCCTTGACTATTCGTTTGAGCTAAGTAAGACGAAGCAGACTAGCTCAGTCGGAGTCGACAGGACAAGAGAAACTAGTTGTTGAAGAATCAAGGTGAAAAAAAAGGATATCAACCGATGTCATTGGCACAGATATCTACACACATTATCCTCATCTTAATCACAATACTTAATCTCATCATTTTCATATCCTACCTTCCTCTACTTCCTATGAACGATTTCCTTTCCTTCATTTTCTATTTTATTGCCTTGTTACTTGATGTGCTGATATCTGAGGTGTAGCACCTTGGACTGTTACGCAGTAATCCCCTGGACTTATCTTGGTTTTGATGAGGATGATCAGCAACGATAATGAAACGGATGTTCTCTCAGGAGAAGGGTAAAACGCAGGACAGACAAGTCAATTGATGAGGTTGTGAACCTTCAGTGACTGAGACGGTATGGAGATGTACTGGGCATGCTTTGTCGCAGTCAACTAACTGAACCTATCATGCTAGAAGAAGCTGAATTAGGTTGGAAGACGGTTCAGGATGGCCAGACGAAGACGTGGAACCAGTAGATGAAGTTTGTCAATGTTAGTGGGACCCGTGTTGGGAGATGTAGACTACCTACCTGACTAGAGTTGCTGAGACGACAGAAATCAGTGGTTGGTAACTCTTGATGACATGGCTGAGAATCGGTCATGATGTATCAAATGTATTCATTCGTCAGCGTCTTCTAAAGACTAAATATTTAAGCTAACCACTATCTCACATAACTTTGTCTACTTTTATAGGAGGCCTTTCACGTCCACTTCTTTGTTTTCTACTGCATCGTGATCTCACCACATAAGTAACAACACAGAAGCTAGACGAAGAGCTTCAGGGATGAGGTTGTGAAGCTCCATCGACTGAGATGGCTGGGTGGGACGTGTTATGTATGCCTAACCAACGACTGCCTCATCGCACATTGTTGGCTTAAGTACGTTCAGGCTGGAAAAAACTCGGGGCGGTGACACTTAAACATGGCATCAATGCATGAAGTTGTTGACTGTTGGTTTGAACCATGTGGGGGGCAATGCAGACTACCCGGTTGGGTTTGGCTTTACAACAGAAACCTTTAGTAGTTAAAGAGTCAAGGTTATGATATGGCTGAGAAACGATGCCAGCGGTGCAGGTGTATACATACACACATGAACCTCATCATTTCCTTATTCTTCCCACCTGTCGTTTACTACTTTCTACTTCTTTTGGCTGAATTTTCTTTACTTCTTCACCATTCATCTTACTACTTTGTTACTTGATGTGCTAATATGTGAAGTGTGGATGACAACTTGGATCGTTACACAGTAATGCCTAGTCTTATGTTAATGATGGTGATGATCTGAATCACGTAATGTACTTTGAACAATCTGATCACATGCACACACACACACGTGAGTAGTTGTCATAGCTATATAGGTGGGGGGTATGTTGTAAAAAGAGACAAGGGGTGAGAATATGAAAAGACGTCAAGTAGGAGAAGTCTAAATTGAAAGCCAATATAACAGTAAACATCAAAAAATTAAAATTAATAATCCATCGACGTTGAGATTTTCAGAGTTGAATTCGTCAAGGAATGAGCTTACGATGATGACAAATTGATTTTGAACAAAAGAATAAGAGAATAAGGTCCACTCAGCAACTTTGTGCACACAGGTATTAATGGGTAACGGTCCAATTTGTCAGCCACACGTCATATATATCAGTACAAAAAGTAGCAAGGCAATAAAAATGGAAGATGAAGAAAGAAAGGGATATCGGCCAAAGGAAGTAGAGGTAGTAAGGGAGAGGAAGAAAGAATTAGATGATGAGATTAAGTGTAGTGGTTAAGGTGAGAATAATGTGTGTATGTGTCTGAGCCACACCACTTAGACTGCAACCAATGGTTCTTTTTGTCCCATGGACACCAACAGGCAAGTTTACATCACCCTACATAGCTCAAACGAACAGTCAACGACTTCATGCTTTAGTCTCGCTGCCTCGAACCCTTTTCCAACCTGAACCTACCTTCGGCCAACATTGTTTGATATAGCAGACTAGGCAGACATAACAATTGTCCCAGCCAGCCATCTCAGTCGATGAACGTTCACAACCGCATCCATTGTCTTATCTCTCCTTCCTAAAACTCTACGTCTAACTTCTGCATTACTACCGTGGTGACCATACGAAGGTAACAGTGGTCAAACACCTGAAGTCTTCTCATGTCTTCCACCTTCAATGGCCATGTTTCACAGCCGTAAAGTAGAACACAAAGAACTGCAGTAAACTGTACTCGATGAGACTCGGATTTCCCGTCGGCGCCACAGATGGCGTAAGTTGGAAAAAGATAATCGAACTTTTTGTATCCGTGCGAGGATCTTGTTAGACACTGACCAACGCATCAGGGCTGATCCAACTTCTCAGATAAGTGAAGTGTTCAACATCCTCAATCACTCCATTCTTTATTGTTAGTCGGGGTACCATCGAAGACCAGTCCTGGAGACACTGCCATAAGACTTTTTGATCGACTTTTGCGTTACTCATGTGGTGACACCACAAAACACAACCTATGCTACGAAGGCAGCGGTGGTGAAACACCTGAAGCCTTCTCATCTTTTCTACCTTTAATTACCATGTTTCATAGATTCATGCGGTTGGTAGCCAGTCAAAACTATTATGCTAAACCTAGTGATACTCCTACTACTACCACCTGGCCGCCAAAACCTCACTAGGTGAATCGATGCAGTAACCGATGAAGCATTTACACCAAAGAAACTATAGTTCTACTCGTCTCCTACTCGAACACATTTTGTCATCTCACGGAAAGGAAACTAATTACTTTGATCATACACACCTCCGTTGAAAATCATTATCAACAGGGGACTGGGCATTACTGCGTAACGGTCCGACTTGCCACACCTCATATCAGCACATCAAGTAAAAAGGTAGTGAGGTGAAGGATGAAGATAAGTGAATGCAGTCAAAAGAAATATAAAGTACGAGAAGAAAGCAAAGAGGAGTGACAAAATAGTGAGATTCGGTATAGCGTTGTTAAGATGAGGATAATGTGTGTGTACATCTGCGCCACTGACTTCGGTTCTCACCCATATCACCTAGGGTCTACAACCACTGGTTTCTCTTGTCCCACCGACCACAACCACCTAGTCTGCATCTCCCCACATGGCTTAAACCAACAGTCAGAGACTTCATACATTGGTGCCATGTTTTAGTCTGGCCACCTCGGGCCTTTTTCCAGCCTGAACCCACCTCAGCCAACATTGTGTGACGAGGCAATCGGTGAAAATCAACTCAGTAGTGCAGGATAGAAGGAAAATAAGCCAAAAAACAACAACAACAACCCAGAGCACTTGACTTACTTCTGTTCCACGGGGTAGTTGTAACCGGCCAGCATTTAAGTGACCTTTGTTCATATCACGAATTGGTATTAAACATGGACCATCATTCAGTGATTTCACTGTCAATTCTACAGTAGCCAAATTAGTGATCACTTTTGGTAAAAATTCACACAACCGTTTATACAAGTTGAATAGTTTCTGTCTACTTGTCTCAAAGGAATTAATCATCTCATGTGATGATGATGATTCTGTTGTCACCATTGAATTAGATGAGTGTATATTTAAAGCTGGTAAATAACTAGGATAACGTGAATCCGTATCTAGGCTGTTTATGAAAAACAGAAGAAAATGATAATATACATCTACGAACCAAGTTGTTACACTTCATAATAGTATATAGAAAAACACATGTGTAGATAGGAAAAAAAATGACATCAAAGTATACAATGGTGTATAGGAGGACAAAGAGACTAAAAAATGTAGATTTGTTAAAACACTTAAGCTTTATAAAGATGTCAAGAAGTGAATAATATATCTAAGCTACTGTTATCGATTTTCAATGAGGTCACTAAGAATCCTCAATCAAGTTGTTATTACTATCCCCAGCCAATAGGGTTGAGACTAACGATCAGGGAGTCTGTTGATTGGTACCACAGCTTAGTCTCCCTACTCTGAAACCTTTTTTCAACTTAATTCAACTTTTCTTAGCATAGCATACATCGAGGTAGGCGGTGGCTAAGTATGCCTAGTACATACCCAAGCTATCTGAGTCGATGAAGGTTTACAACCGCAAATTCACATTGAATGACATAGCTATAGAGAAATAGAAATGGTTAACTAGGTAACCAGTTAGATACATTGAGTAGAAATTTGATTATTGTGAACGATAAAATGACTTTTCAACTTTATCCTAGAAGTTTATGCTGACCAATGATGTGAGTAGGAATCGCTAGTTCAACTGTTAACTACACTGTAATCGATCTTGTACACTTTTGAAGTGTTGTTAGTAAATTCATTTCACGCTTTTAGTATGTGAAGCGTGAAACTTTCTTTCTTGAAATAAGCATATTTCAAGACTTTTTATAAATGACATTCTTCTACTGTTGTTTTGTTCTTTTCGTTTAAATTCAACAGTTTGCAATGCAAAACGGTGTTTTCTCCCAATACGTTAGTTTGGAGAATTGTCTGTTCACTGTTGGTTGTTTGTTCAATTTTCTATATATAGCAAAATATAGTCTAGTACAAACAAACAAACAAGTCATTCAATCAATCAATATTAACATAGGACTGGGCATTACTGCGTAACGACCCGAATTGCCATATCCAGTAAAAAGGTAGTGAGGTGAAGATAAGAGAATGCAGTCAAAAGAAATATAAAGTATGAGAAAAAAGAAAAGAGGAGTGACAAAATGGTGAGATTCGGTATAGCGTCGGTAAGATGAGGATAACGTGTGTATACGCCTGCGTCACTGACTTCGGTTCTCAGCCATATCAACCAGAGTCAGTCTCCAACCAATGGTTCCTCTTGTCCCGCAGACCCCACCACCTACTCTGCATCGCCCCACATCGCTCAAACCAACAGTCAAAGACTTCATACATCGATGTCATGTTTTAGTCTGGCCACCTAGCGTCTTTTTCCAGCCTAGACCTACTTCGGCCAACATTGTGTGACGAGGCAATAGACAAACGGATATCACAGCGGCGCCATAGGTGGCGTAAATTGGCAAAAGCCAATCGAGCCTTTTGTATCCGTGCAGAGATTTCATAGGCAACTAACCCACCAGGGTTGATCCTATTTCCCAGGTAAGTAGAGTGGTCGACACACTTAACCACTTCACTCTCTATTGTTAGCCACGGCACCGTTGAGGACCAGTCTTGCAGCAAAAATTTGTATTTGGGTAGTGAAAACCGCATCCCAAATACAAATTTTTGCTAAAGAAATCAAGACAGGAAGCTGAGAGTTCTCTATGTAGCTTCAGTTTTTGTCTCGGTTAGTTACCTTCCAACCCATCAGCAACAGATCTAAACTCTATTACACCTACCAAGGGTGTAGAGCACTGCAGTTCCCTCTGGTCTACTACTGTATGCCTGTGAAACATAGTCATTAAAAGTGGAGGACATGAAAAGGTTTCAGGTGTTTAAATAGCAAAGGTGGTTACCGCGCTTCCCCATCAAATGAGTAACGCGTTATTCAAGTGTAGAGTTTTATGCAAAAGAAGTAAGAAACATACGTTACGCATACCTAGTTAGCGGCTACCCTATCGTATAATCCCAGCTGAAGTAGGTTTAGGCTAGTGTTCCAATTATAACGTGCGATTAGTCGATAATATACCTAACTGTTGATGTGAACCATTTGAAGATACAGTTGGGATCCAAATAACAGCAGAAACTGGCCAAGCCAAACAACAGAGTAGCATTGACGCATCATATTCACAAATTTTTTTCATCCTAGTTTGGTGTTTGGTAACTTGGACCGTTCGTTATCTAGTGTTGCCAGGTCCCATGTTGACATTTTGACTGTGACATTATCATTATCATTATCATACTTTAAGTAACTTCGTCACTACAAGAAGATTGTCGTTTCCAGTATTACACAAGTACAAGTAACAGACAGACAGACCCACTGTAAGGCACCGTACACACATCAAGGAGTCTAAGTTATACCACCCTTGATAACACTACACACACATGAAATGAAGTCAAGAGAAGTAGGCAAATATCAAGGATAGCAAATAAGCTTAAAGAGAAAGAGGAGATACTCAGTAATAATAATAATAAAGACCAGTAGTGTTTTCAGAAACTCCTAGCATAACTGTGCGCTTTCCTCGGAGAATCAAGATATCTAGATGAGAATAAAGCATGGATGTGTTTGTCCTACAGTAGTGATCAACTTTAAGGCATATTTACCTGGTCCCCAATTGTCTATTCAAGTTAATTTGATGGATTGAAATCAAGTCATCAGAGAGAAACCTATTTCATGTTGTCTAAGTTCTCAGTACTGACCAATAGATTCGGTGATCTGGTCACCAAGATAGGAGAATCAGCATCGTGATGTTGGCTGGTTGGAGGTAATCGGCAGGAAATGTTGAACCTAAGTATTCTCTTGTTAGTACTCATCATCAAAGTCTATCTGAAATGTCAAAGAACTAATGCTTCCCCCCCCCCAGAAATTCAATTTTTAAAAAAAACTTTGATCAAATATCACTGGCTTTCTGTGATTACCTTCAACCATTTTCTACAATTATAAATTTTTCACTAAAAATACGATGCATAGAAATTAGTCATGACAAAAGAAAAAGGAAGAAGTAACAACCTACCGAGTTGATACAAGATGTAATAGTACATATTCAGCAACAATCTTATCACCATCAAACAAGTTAGTAAGTAATTGAATCAATTTTGTACGAACCAATTGGATATTATCAGCATAATTGTTAGCTATTGATAAATAAGAAATAGTAAATATTATACTTACTACTACACATAGTAACAATTGTTGATGTATCATAGACAAGTGGATTATTATGTTTTAATTGATTCACTATAACAGCGTGTATACGAGACAAAGGTTCACCACATTTCTGCATTGACTCACAATTATCCTCTGGTAATACATCACTAAGACGTGCAAACTCTAATATTCCATAGACTTCAACAATATCATTAATTTTCAGTGAACTTTGAACTTCATTGTATACCTGATAATAAAAAAGATATATATTATTACTACTACGCATCATCATCATCATCATCATAGAATAGAGCATAGAATAGCAGTCAACTCTTTAACTCAACTTTGAAAAGGCTTTCGACAGCATCGACCAAAAAGTAATTAAGGGTACTGCTTCAACACTACGGTTTTAGTGCCTCAAATACTTATCGACTTCATTCAACAGCTATATGATGCTACATGCCAAGTGATTCGCGATGCAAGTACAGTGATGCCTTTGAAGTGAAAACAGGAGTAAGACAACGTTGCCGCCTACTATCATCGATCATTTTCCTGATTGTGATTGACTGTATCATACAATAAACTTTGAAAAGATAGAGGATGGGTATACTCTGTTTCATCGATGAAAAGACCTTAGAGATTTGGATTTCACCCATGATGATTTATGTCTAATGTCAACAAACTCAAAATGTACAGCGAAAACCAACCAGTTAACAGAGGAGGCGAGGCAGCGAAGGAAGACAGGACTTTCTTCAGGTGAACGTAGAGAAGACAGTGGTGATGAAGATACCCAACCAACAACAACAACGAACACCAATCACGATGAACAGGAGAAATCTAAACGAAGTTGTCTCTTTCACCTACCTACCTACCTAGGCAGCATCGTTCCAACTACAGGCTCTGGCACAGGTATAAATGAGGATGTCAAAGCCAGGATGGGAAAGACAGCCTCCACTTCATCTACCTGAAATCAGTGTGCAGATCTACTCCACTCCACTCCACTTCACGCCACTCAGCATGTGGAACAACATCCACATTTTCAGCACTAATTCAGTCAAGTAAGTGAGTGCTTCCATGTGATGGTTGAGAGAGTTAGCACGTTACAAAAACATTTCCAACAAACTGCAAACATCATTCATCAACAGCAGCCGCCTACGCTCACTCGATACTGATCATTAGATCAGATGAGATGAGATGGTCGGAAAGAGTAAGGAACAAGGAACTCACTCTGTCTGACAACGAACCAACGAAGCAAGAACCTATCATCCAACAACTATGCAGGGGGAGAAAGTGGAGATGGATTGGATTGAACATACACTGAGAAGACGGTTTGGGTACACTACGCGTCAGGCGAGATCGTCGAGTGGAAGGGAATGGGAAACGATAAGTTGGGCATCCGGCCTGAGGGTGACATGGAGGTGTGAGGAAGGAATGAAATCTTCTGGGCATGAGTGGAGCCAGGTTGAGAAGACTGGAGAGAAGAGAGTGAAATGGCGACGTGCTACTGAAATCCTATGTTCCACTTGTAAGCCAATGGACAAATAATAATGCTACTTGTTGTAACCGAGTGGTGGGGTTGCGCGCGTGGGTATAATGGTACTGAAACTCAATAGACACCTTAACCGAATAACCTTTACGACTGACCTCCCTCAGTACCTTCTGCTTCACTGAGCTGCAGAGAAATCAGAAGACAAAGACGGTCCGTGACTGCAAGAACAGCGACAACAACTTTTATTAGGTAAATACATGACATATATATGTATTTACAAAACTCTCAGAAAGTGAAGCTATAAATGAACCAATGCGATTTCTTGTATGAGGTCGAACTTCTCCAATCAGGTTCTCATGTCAGCGCATGCATAAATCACGACCTGAACATGATCTGATCATGACTTGAAAACAGCTCCCCTATTGGCTGCCTTTTTGTTGCTACGTTTCCTAACTAACGTTACAGAACAGAGTAGTTGTGTTATTGGTTGTAGTTGATTGCATAGAATTGATTACTCACTATTGACACATAGGCTTTCGTGCGGAGGCCTCTACATTACCCTTTGTTTCAGTTTGATAATAGTGGCTAGCAGGGGGCGCGTTTTGTCTGACCTAAGACTCGTGTCAAAGGTGGATGAACCTACATCCCAGAGACGGATGCTATTCCCATTGAGACTCGAAACTAGGCCGCTTAGTTCATTACTTAGAAGCAATAACAGAAAAACTAAAACCATCGCTTAAGGAGTAGCTATAGTGACTTACTGATCTAGTGAATAAAGGTTCCGGTGTTTGAAGCAATTGGTTCTGATTACAAGTGTCAGTGATAATAGTACCACTTACTAGGAGGCAGGTACACTCAACTGACGAGTTCCAAATAAGAGGAGACATGTTTCACAGATTCCACTGCTAGCCTCTATCCCCATCAGTACTGACGAACTGAGTAGTGTTGATATTTAACAAAATATTTTCTTGGAAAGAATCAATACAACCCATCACATAGCCAGTATTAGCAGTATATAACTATGAGCAGTATATTTAATCTTTAAAGCCTAATAATGCTAATCAGTTCAATTAGATTGAGATAAGTTGCTTAAAAATCGAGTACTTCAGTCTATGGACTACGGAACTCTGGGATAAGAACATAATTCAGCAAATCAGTACTACACGTTCAGATATGTTAGGGATGTCTATATCTTTTATATTCCATACTTACAGTTTGTATATGTTTGAACTAGTTTATTTCACGCTTTTTCCCCACACATGGATCATATTTCGTATGACCCCCTATTGTTCTGATTGGCTCCTGCCTCTTTAAGTGTACTAATTATCGCTTGTCTTTCAGGTTACTGTAAACTCTATAAATAGGGTCCTTTTCACTCATAAACGATTTTCAGTTCGAGATTTCTTTTTGCGAATCATTTGGATTGAATCATCTCAACCCTCAACTACCAATCGTTAAGTGTCGTCTTTGTTCGTTCTCACAACACCTCATAACAGTGTAACAAGCAAAAAATAGATAAGATCTATATTCATCATTGAATCAAATCGAAATCAGAAACCTTGACCACATTCGTGCAGTAGTAGTAGTGTGAGGGTTAATGATACTACCTGGCTGCCTAAACTTCAGTAGGTGGAGTAAGGTTTGAATCCGTAATCTGCTGTTTGAAAGTCAACTGCTGAAACCAATGATGCATACAGCTTCACCACCAACCAGAGAATCTTGTTCAAAAACACTAATCGATTAGTCATTGATATATCTGTTAACACGACATTCATATTAAACTTAGAATATTTATTTATAATTACTACTGCTGAAGAGATGAGTGGCTATGAAGGCCGCCCACCGTAGCAACTTCTCAAATAACCAATTAGGTTCCGGTATTTCACCTGGAAAGGTAGTTTTCTATAAAGCAGAGAAAAATGACTATCCAACAGTTGTTGGGGTGGCCTTTAAATTCACTCGTAAAGGTAGCCGTTTTGGGGTACAACTCTTCACTGAATACTATGTTTACACCAGGGTGAAGTAGTACGTGGAACAGATGACTAAAACAGTACAATTACTATATTCAAATGTTGTGAATTATTCATTAAAATCATAAAAAGACAAACTAAATTGCTTTTGAATACTCTAGGGAGATGGAAAGGGGTTTTAGTTGATTTATTTGCGCTAAATATTCTGAACAACAATCTAATCACTTGTTAAGGCATTATTGTGAAACCGAAATATCAAAATAAAGACTAGAAATACTCTTTAGCTGCCTAAAATGAAGGTGGAATGCAAATAAGTCCACTTAGAAATTAGTGCTAATACCGTAACCCCGTAATACTATCTATCCTGCATTATCTATTTCAAGCATAAAATTGGTACCAGTAAATGTACCATACTAAATAGTAAAAACCAGGTTAAGAAGATATTAAGGCGATGTAGAATGAAGAAAATAAACAAGAAAAGAACCAGTAATAGAAAAAACAAGAATCTGCTACTGGTTTCGAATCAAAACCACGCCTATTATCGTCTCTTGCCATTAAATTTCATGCTCCCTCGGACCATAAATAGGGAGTTGTGAAGCGCCAGTAGATGCTAGCTCATGGTGTCATATCATACACTTTCCACCTTCCCACTCCTTCCAACCAATCTCAGCGCTAGCCACAATTCCATATTAGCACATCACGGTAAACGGCATGAAAGGATGAAGAAATGGGAAAGAAAGTAATCAAAAGTAGTAGAAAATTGTACAGAAAAAGGAAGACGAAATAAAACAATGATGAAATTCGGTATGATAATAAAGGATGAAGATAATGTGTGTATATGCATTTGAGTCATCAAGATTGGATCGAGTTTGTGCCGACTACTTCACTTTCTTAGGGAGTTGTAGCAGTCCAAACGGGCTAATTGCTGACGAATCTTGGCTTGGATAAACAGCACTCGTTTGACATTTGCCAACCTGAGTCAACTGTGGCGCCGACTAGCGAGATAACCGACTATCTACCAAAAGACAAGTATACTGCACTGCAGTCCGTTCCATCCTCTTATGTGGTTGAGACACTCGTTGAAAGTAGATGACATGAAACGGTTACAGGATTTTGATTACAGGTGTCTTTGTGGCATTGCTCAGGTTTGGTGAAATTACTATGTGAGTAATATTGAGACCAAGCGAATAGGTACTAGGCAAAAAAGGCAAGTGGACTGATGAGGTTGTGAACCTTAGTCGACTGTGATGGCTTGGACATGACTGCGTATGCCAAGTCACCGCCCACCTCAATGTTCCATGCTAGATGTTGGACTAGGTTGAAAGAGAGTTCACCAGTCAATGTACTCTTTTACCGTTGGTCTTAGTGTGAGGAGATATAGACTGCCTGGTTGCAGTCTCCGAGACGATAAGAATTAGTGATTAGGGACTCTTGGTGACATGACTGAAAACCGATTACAATCACGAAGATGTTCTCACTGTTTGACATTGTCTAAAGCTTGAACATTCGCACTAACCTTTAGCTTCAAATTGTTTATTCTCTCACGCAATTTCGTCTACTTTGATATCACCCTTTTCCTATCAACCTGTTCTTTTTATACTACTGTGAAGTGTGGCAACTTGAAGCAATCCAGTTCTATGCAAGGTTCTACGTTGATTTTGTCTGTCCGTTCGTCAAACGGAAAGTTTCCATGCTCTTATACGACTAAGACCAGTAGTCAAAGTTTTAATTACAAATTAGGTTTACAATCTACAACATATTTGATTGATATTAAATTTAAGATGAAATTTATAGGAATTGTAAATCCTTACCCGTAATAAAGCACCAATCTTGTCATCATTATACTCTTCTTCTTCTAACGGGAAGTGTTTATGGAATTTAGCTTGATTCGGATAGTTTCCTGTTGCTAAACATGAAGAAAATAATTATACATACAATTATAGAATAGACGACTAACCTATACCTCTTGGCTTTTTATTTACTGCATCTATAGGTTCACATAAATGACGCTTTTGACCGGATGGCATCAATGAAGGCATATATTCATTTCCATCTACTCTTATGTAATAATAAATAGTTTAGGAAAATAGCGTTTTCGAGGGATATCTTGCTACAAAGCTTTCTATAGCTTGTTTCGAAATATTGAGTCAAATGGAATTCAGTAACCGTATACACATTCATGCAAGTAAACAATGAGCCATGCCTATTGTATGACTGGTTAAACCTCGATAAGTGGAGCAGGTTTCGAACTCATGAACCACTGACTGAAAGTCAACTGTTTAAACTAATGAATTCATAACTTCACATTTCCAATCCAGTAAGTCGCAGCCAGAATAGCTTAGTGATAACGTCTCTGACTATAACGCAGCGGTAGATAATGTGGGTTCAAATGTCAGATGGGATATCAGTTCCTTAAAGATTGCCAATACGCCTTGTTGATGAGTACTCAAAAGCATGATACCTAGGTCTACGGCTTTCTGCCGATTCTCTCCATCCAACTACCATATACAAATATTTTTATAAACTACAAAACTTGAAATAACCAATGGACTATACGTTGATTACTAAAACCTTCAAGATTATTTGATACACTGAAATTAATCTTTTAAAATCAATATACAAAAAGCATATTCAAGATGAGAAGTTAAAAAAAAGAAAGAAAATAGAACGATGAAAAAGGATATTTTTCTAACCCAAGGAGACTCCCCAGGTACTGGGACTATGTAGAACGACTGACGTTCAGAGAATTTCACATCGATTGGACTTGTGTCTTCACTGATCTATAAAATTAAACAATTATAGTTAGTAAGATAACCAACGGATTTCATATGTTTAGTTAGCGTAGCAACGTAACGATATGGTTTCTGCGTAACAATTTAGAATTTTAAGACAAATCAAAATACTTAATTGCATGAAATCAACACTAATGTATCTGATCTTGCCTAGTTGACACACTTTACTGCCATGAATCTTGTCTGAACCGACATTCTAGCTTAATATAAGCATATCACTTTCAAAATGTCATGTAAGTGATGAAGGATACAGAAGAAAAACCAGTCAAAAGCAACAGGAAGTAGTATAAGAGAGAAAGAAGGAGTAAGAAAACAATGAATTTACTATGACGGTTAAGATAAAGATAACGTCAGGATAAAACTGCGGAACTGACATCGATTCTAAGCCATGTCACTTAGAGTCTAACCACTGGTTTCTCTTGTCTCACTGACCCCAACCGGTTAATCAGCATCACTCTACATGGCTAAGATGAACGACGAAGGACTTCATGCATTGATGCCACGTTTCAGTCTGATTGTCTCGAACCTTTTCCCGCTTCAACCTACTTCGGTTAACATTTTGCGATGAGGTAGACGGTGGCTAGGCATACATAACACATGTCCCACCCAGCCATCTCAGTCGATGAAAGTCCAAAACTCTACACCTGACTTCGGCAATACTGAAGTGGAGACACCATTAAACACGACCTATGCTACTAAGGCAACCCTGATCAAACACCTGAACCCGTCTCATTTCTTGAACCTTTAATGACCATCTTTCACAAGCATACAGTAGGACAAAACGAACTACAGCGCAGTAGACTCCACCCTTAATAGGCGAACAGATATCTCGGCTTTGCGACAGATGAGGTAAGTTGGCAAAAACCAAACAAGCCTCTTGTATTCGTCAACCACTGACCAACCCAACACAGCTCGACTTCCCAGGTAAGTGAAGTGGTCACCGCGCTCAACCATTTTACTCTTCACTGTCACCCGGAGTACAAATGAAGACCAGTCCAGGAGCAGCAACTTGCACCTGGGCGGCGAAAAACGACACATCGTAAACATTCTCAAATTTTTAATCAAAGTATCTAGAAGACCACATCTTGTCAGCGTCTTTACCTACCAGGATAATGTTATCTGCGTACTCTATACACAGCAAGGATTCTCTTGTGATTAGATCAATCCTCATGAAGTCAGACGACGAGAGGGTCAAGTAAAAAATGGAGAGCGCATGTCTTTGACGGACACCACTCGACGTACATAACTCACCTAACAACTTAGCATAGGCCCCAACACGCTTACGGGTCTTTGAGTACACAGCCTTCAACGGAGTGATGCACTTACTCGATACCCCTTTTAGTGAGACATTGCTATCAGACCTCTCAATCAACGGAGTCGAGTAGTGTTTTTAGGTCCCAGAACACGACGTTCTGAATATCTGGTAGTTACACTTATGACCAGGTCAGAAGCCTGCCTGGTTTTCTCGGGTTACTGTTCCCGAGATATACGAAAACGTTTAACGATTATAGAACTTAGAATATCCGTCAGGTTGGTTCTCCCAGGATTATTATAAGAGGACCCCACCTTTCTTGAAGTAGGGGACAATCAGTGATTGAGACCAGTCAGAGGGGACCATATCTGACTTCCACAGATTTGCTAACATCCGTTAACTTGATAAATAACCTTCTACAACTATTCTTAAATACCCCTGATCCGTCCGGCTCTACTGCTCTTCCTCATTTCCGGTTACCTACAGCCTTCTCGACTTTTGCAAATGGATAGCCAGTAATTTAATAGCTAGAGGTTAGCCGAACCGTTTCTCGGGATGTTCCGCTTGCTGTTCTAGTTGTCTTCACTGCGAGTGAATCACAGACCCATCCTTCTCCACGATAGTCTTACTAACCATTGACCTTTTTGCTCGTTTCCTCAGTCAGTCTACACAACTACCTACTGCCACCACGTTTTCCATCTTTTTAGTCTTCACTCTCCTCCACCTATCCCCCATAGTTCACGGTTATTCAATAGACTTTCTGTCAGTCTATGTACGAGTTGCATTCCCTCGTCAGTGTATTCACAGCCTGCAGGGGTGCGTTTGGTTGCATCCACTAACTCATAAGTTGCTGAGATTTACTAATTCTTCTTAACCACTCTGAGAGTCAGCTACGAGCTTCAACACTGTTTCTACAGTAGACTGGGGATGATAACAAGCTTCTGAATGAGTGATATTGTTGCCTTCCAATAACTGTTGAGCCAGTTTCTCACTGAAAGCAGCCTTTCTGCTCTCATTATCGAGCTGCACCCACAATGCTCTTATTGCTAAAGTTTTCCTACACCTACTTCGACGCAGAAATACATGCGCTTGAATCAACCCGTGGTTGCTATCCAAATACGTGCTCCAGAAAGAGTGGCAATCTTCCACCGATCCCCTCTAACGATAACTAATAACAATATAGTCTATGTGTACACCGTAGAGTTGAGACAGGTGCACACCAACTGAGATAATGTCTTTATGTCTCTAGCTCGTACTGGCCAGAAATAGATGCGTTTCGGAGCACAACTGTAGCAGGTGATTACCGTTATCTGTTTGTTCGGCTGGTCAGGATTTCGAAAGTGCCTTTGTACCTGACAGCCTACCTTGTGTATTGAAATCGCCGGCAACAACAACTACATCTGAACTTTCAGCAGGAGGCTAGACAGTTCAAAATGTCAGGTAAGCAATTCACCATATCAGTAAATTGATATATGTACATAAGTGTACTAGTCTCCAATATACGAATTAGTTGCATCTGATGAATTAATTACTAGAAGTACGCAATTTCAAAAGCTAACCTTATACCAGCTCAGGAACTCAACTCTATGTGGCTGTATGCACATATGTTATGTCAGGACACTTAGTCTTTAGTGTATAGACAGATGCACATGAATTTGAGATTATAGCTTTATTGCAGTTTAGGGAAAGGTTTCAGATGCAAACACAGTATTTTACCTGTTTACATAGTTATTTAAAAAAGCAACATAGCTTGAGTTCAAATCATTGCACTTTCATACTAACTGCTGCCAAAATTATGCTACAGTCGAACTTTAATAAACTGACATACTACTGAAAGATAAAGACGTTTTCAGTAAATCGCTAGTAGCTTTCACTTTTTTTGTCTTCACATAGGTGTAAGGCAGCAGTGGAAAGTTATTGAGAATGATATGCAATCACTAACCCCCATTAAATCACCTGTTTAGGTCTTTGAGTGGTTCATATAGAAAGACCGTGCCAAAGTTAATGCATGACCGGCTAAAATCAGTGTAAAAGTGGTGCACGAAGCAACATACAATCTCTAGTATGCCAACACACATAATTCATTCAATAATGTGAGCTAATGGTGACATAAGATAGTTAGATCTCCCTCATCTATAAAGGCAACAGCAAAGATGCACATACTCTAAACAATAACCTACACCTGTCATGTGTGAGGCGATGATATTGACTACCCAAACCCTAACAAGTGGAGTGGGAGTTGAAGCTGCAGTGCGGGGATCGGAAATCAAATTCCTACACTAATAAGTCACATCGTTTCTAACTTACCCAGAAATAACAATAAAGTTTGTAATATCCAGGCAGGAAATACACTTGCCAATGGCAACAATTTGCAGATAACTGTTTCTGAGTGACAACATACACATGTATTAGGCTTAGACTTCCCCTGCTCCTCAGTTAGATGCTTAAGATGGCGTATTACATTTCTTGTCTATCCATAACATTGCATGAACAATCATCATATATGGCAATGACGTTGTAACTCTGAACTTTACAGGAATTACACACACTGCTTTAGTGATACGATGACTGATTGTAAACTTATCGGTAGGATAAGAGAATTATGTTGCGCATGAAAAAAGCAGTCACAAGATATCCCGAATTTTAGCAGCCAGAATATTGCACAATACGAATAGGTTTGTAGTTTCTGAAGGTAAAGAATGGAATTCCTTCATTAGGCAGAAGTTAATCGGAAGTATTCGTCAAAGTATATGAGTGAAAATGTCATGGTCCCGAAGTTGGATACATAGTGTTAACACCAGGCTTTTAGAGTGCAAGCGATAACAACACTACATCATAAAACAAGACAGAACCAATGTTCATCCAAGTAGGTGCACGTCCACACCAATTGTTATCTGCTACCTTACTTGAAACTAATTAGCGGGAAGTTGGACTTAAATTAAATGATTAATACCTATGTTCGCCGTCTAAATACTCAACAATTATCCACTAAGACCTCATTCCTTTTTTAAATCTAGACAGTAAATATACATGAATTGTAATGTTAGTGGACTACATGCAACGTCACATATGTGTATTCTAGTTGAGAATGCCGCCAACATGAGAAAACATCAGGCGGTCCAACGTTTAAGGAATCGTTTGATGAGGGCGAAAATTTGTATTTTCACCAGATCTATACAAGGGAACCACATAAAAAACTAGGCGTGTGCGCAACAAAAACTAATGATGCCTGAGACAAATGTCTTTGGAGCTAAAGTGAAAAAATTCAATAAACATAAGTCGATGCAAATACTTTAAATAAAATTTCATCGCTTTGTTCATAGACATGACACGAAAAAGTAAGAACACCACTCAGTACAGAGTACATATTAAAAATTACTTGGACTTTACTGTGATCTCGGTATCGAAAGGACCTGACAGTAGCATCATCCGGTGATAACCGACATGAATCTATATAAAGTTCTGAGTTGAACATATCCTGGATCATTCCAACAAAACGGACTAGATGGCCATCAGAGATTAGTTCCAGAGAAGTGTTGCTGAAAAAAGGTACCTGGAAAGTTTAATCCGTATTAACATTAGGCTAACTTTCGAAGAGTATTGTTGTACAGCCATTTGAACTTCAGCAAGAAACGCCGAATTATCACCTCCATTACCTTCGAAATAAAAGAGGTATTCCTTGATTGCTTACAGAAAATCTTATCAAAAACAACCAGAGGACTGCTAATGCACTCAACACTATCCACAGAGCACATCGTATTCTTAACTGCCTGAGGCGGATATTCAGAGAAACTCCCGGGCTGTGGAACAGACTTTATAGCTCGCGCTTTGTTGTCCTATAGACACTCCGTGTCCCTTCTACAAAATAATTAAAACAAAGCTTGTGAATAATCAAAACGTGTCTAGCCCATATTACTGCTGTACCGATTGCATGATTCAGCTGGACTTCCTTGACTGCAAATCACCTTGTAAATTGACAAAGAACTTGTCAATCACTCAGGTACGCTCTACAACAGAAAATTTCGTCATGAAAAACAGAAACGGTTTTCTGTCGATAATATAGTGATATAGATCATGATCATATACAACAAATTTGGTAATTGTCACACCTGTCGTGCAAAAATATAAAACTCTGACTAATTGACATCCTTCATGAGGGGTGAGTAGCTAATATCCAGTATTGAAAACGCAAGTGTAGAAAACTGATAGTTTTGATCGCTAGCAGATAGCTGATTGCAAACTGACAGCCACTATTAGGTAGCATGAAACAAAGTTGAGGCACAACCTTAGTTCCAATATTCAACATCCAATATTGATAGTGCGAGCGTGGAAAACTGATAGTTTTTGATCTCTCACGTCTAGTTCTCAGGGCTTGGTTCCAGTTGTTCGGTTCACTCCTGCAGTGGACGAGGAAACCCCCTCTGCTTTCTTGCTTTAGCCTCCGTGAGGTGGATGCTTTGTGGGTTATTAAGTCGTAATTTGTAGAGTGATTGGGGGCTACGGGAAGTTTAGGGAACTGCCGTGACTCTCGTCTGTGTAGGTGCCTGAAAGAGAATAGTAAGGTAGTAGTAAAAGAATGAAGAAGGGAAGGAAAAAAGAAAAAAATCAGGGAAGAAAAAGAGTGAAAGAAGGGAAGGAGAAGAAAAGGAGGGGGGAAACAGAGAAATAAGAAAGAAAGAAAAGTATTTGGGAATTGCCCGAATGGTAGCGTGGGTTTGGTTCCCACATAAGAATTAGTAGGTAATGTGGGTGTATTAAGGAGGGAAATAGTGAGTGGTAGTTATGATGGAGTTGGGGGCTAGTGAGGTTGGTGACTACCCGAGTACGTCCGTGGTGAGGTGACATAACTGTCTAATAGTCCCTTGAATGAGTCGACTGAGGGAGCTATAAAGATATGTCGCGGTAAGGCATTCCATAAAGCACATACTCTTAGGGAGAAAAATTTGGACCTGAGTATGGTCTTGGCTCTCTGGTGTGATATCTTATACCTGCGTTTTAGCTTTTTATTTTGAGCAGTGTAAGAGGTCTTGAGGTTAAATTATTATTATTATTCGTCTCTTGGGCTCCCAGTGGAACACAAGACTTCAGTAGCACGTCTCCATTCCACCCTCTTTGCTTATTCTTTCTGGCCATGTGATCACCATCTTCAGTAACCAGCCAGCTTAGGCAGTTGTTGGTGAATGTCTGAAAATTGTTGAAAATGCCTCTCGTAACGCACCAACTCTCTCAACCATGATACAGAAGCACTGACTTGACTGAATTAGTGCTAAAAATCTGTATGTTGTTCACGCTTTTTGCTGAGTGCAGTACAGGAGATCTCCATACTGGTTTCAGGTTAATGAACGCCTGTTTTGCTGTCTTCTCGATCCTGGCTTTGACGTCCTCGTCTGTGCCTATGCCGCCAGTAGTTGAAACGATGATGTCTAGATAGGTCAAAGAGGTTACTTCCTTTAAGTTTTTCCTGTTCATGGTGATTAGAGCTTGCTGTTGTTGGTGGTGGCGTTGGTTGTGTATCTTCATCACCTCACTCTTCTCTACCTTCACTTGAAGTCCCGTCTTCGTTGCCCCACCTCTTCCGTCAACTCGTTAGTTCCGCCGATAGATTTTCGAGTTTGTGTGACACTAGACACAAGTCATTGGCGAAATCCGAATCTTCTAGGATCTTTTCCCCGGTACAGCCAGCGTATCGCCCTCTTCTCACTCCTCACTGTAGGTATTCTTGTCTTACTCCTGTCTTCACTTCACTTCAAAAGCATCACTGAGCTTCCCACTGTGAATTACTTAGCATGTAGCGTCCTCATATAGTTGTTGAATGAAGCTGATAAAGGTTTGTGGTATTCCGTAGTGTTGAAGCAGCTGCTTGCCAAATTACTTGTCGGTTAACGCGGTCAAAGGCCTTCTCAAAGTCGATGAAGTTGAGGTAGAGAGTTGACTGCCATTTTATGTTCTGTCCTATGATGATGCGTGGCCTGGTGGTGCAATTTGATCCGCACATGATTTTTACTTCCTGAATCCAGAGCATCCTTTAGTCGCTCCGGAATGATGCGGCTTAATATTTTGCTTGGGGTGGACAGGAGTGGAGCGTGATTCCGCTCCAGTTCCTGCAAACACTTAGGTAGGTGTACCGTGCTTAGGTTGAGGTTACACTTGTGAATCCATATGGAGTTATGTTTATGAATCACATGTCTGCGCATATACTATAAGTTAGCCTGTTAAGGAGCTTATAAATCAATATCTGGTTCAGTTTGAGCCTTCGTTTCCATAGTGGTTCAAGTCCTAGGATGTTGCACCTGGTGGCATATTTTACCTCTTTATTGGTGTTGATTATTCTCATCGTAAATTCTCTCTGCACTCCGACTTTCAGTCTATCCGTAACCTGTATACTGCTGTACATAAATGAACAATATTCGAGCGGTGGTCGGACACATTTTTTATACAGGATCACTCTTGATTCTGTACTATAGAAGTCCCGTAGTAAGAAACCCACCAGTGTGCATGATTTCGACACCTGTGTGGATGCATGCTCAGAGAAGGTTAGGTTATGAGAATATCGGAGCCTTAACTCTTGCATAGACTTAAGTTTCACGAGTGAATGCCCGGTTATCATTAGGTTTAATTCGAGTGCATAGTCACCTATGCATATCCAGCCACATTATTCTGTGTTAAATTCGAGTCCCACGGGGTTGCACCACATGCTAACATGTCTCAGTTCCTCTTGCATACAGCTGATAGTCGAGAGTAAGTCACTGCTAATGCCTTTAGGTCGTCCACGTACAAGAATGGCTTGCCTACCTTGAAACACTCACATATGCTGTTGATGAGTGTTATGAGGAGGAGTGGACCTAAGACGCTGCCCCGGACAACACTGGCTATCGGTTTAGCCTTGGAGACAGCTGAGCCAACTTTCGCTGTTTGGTAACGGTTATGCAGAAGGGATTTCAACCAGTCTAAAAGTGGATTAGAGATTCCAAGGGATCCTAGCCTATTCATTGGTAATCAGGTTGTGTGGGAATCTGTCGAAGGCTTTAGTGATGTCGAAGTAAAGTATTACCACTATCCTTTTCTGATCCTTTTTGCTGGTAATCTCGTTAAAAAAGTCGAACAGGTTTGTAGTGCAAGATCTTCTTTTCAGAAAACCATATTGCGACGAGTTGATAAGGTTAGATCCCATCAGTTAATCAGACATTTGATTTTTAACTACCTTTTCCATAATCCTTGAAATGACTGGGCTTATGTTAGTTGGTCTGTAATTGCTAACACTGGTCTTGGCCCCTGACTTATGTTTTAGCAGTATATAAGTAGTTTTCCACTTGTCAGGACATGTTCCAGAATCTAATAAGAGGTTAAATATTTTGAGTAATAAAACTGCCATATCCATGCCAGCCTCTCTGTAAATTATTGACGATATTACGTCTGTCCTGCGGCTAACATTTGCTTACAGGGTTTTAATCGCATAGTTAACGTTATTCACGCTGAATTCTATGCTTCCCATCGTACTACTAGTTGTACTGGTTATTTCGATATCTGGAGTTAGAGGCATGTTAGAAGTTCACTTAGAAGTTCACAAATCACCTGCGGATCATGGCAACCTATACCTTTATGCCCTAGATGATTTATTAAAAAGTCTTTTGCATTTTTTCGCTTTCGCAGGGTGCTGCAAAGGTTTTCTGTTTTGGACAAACTGTCAAGGGCCGTACGCTCCTCAGCCAGCACTTTCATACGGCGTCTTTCTTGAAGTGAAAGGAATGTTGTATGTACCCGATTCAGTACATGGAATTCTTTCAAAACAAAGTACCTTTCTCAGTCATCTTAGTCTGCGTCGAGTTTTCCCATCTACACATAAATTTGTTTCCAGACCAAGCTTAGTGGGTGCAATTGTTTCCTGAGTGGAGCTAATAATCTTGTGAAATTCGTCAAGGGTTTGAGATAGACTACCGCTGGTGAAGAATTCTTCCCAATCGGAGCATCTAATGAGTGTCTTGAGGGGCTCCCAGTCAGCATTCTTGATGTCTTTGTGTGGGTAGTATTTCGGTGTTATTTCGTGTGCACCCTCGCGAGTTACTAAAAGTGGTAGAGTGCAAAGCAATATGCTATGATCGCTGTTTGCAAACTTTTCTCCTATCTGTACGGGCAATGGCTCAGTGTCGTGACAAAGTATCAGGTCACGGGTGTTGTTGTTTCGCGTGACAGGGTGCACGTATTGCTGCCAGCCGTTTGTGTCAGTGGATGCTAGGAGTTCGTTGTGTTTCGTGGGACCTGTGCATATGTTCCAGTCTACTCCAGGGAGGTTGAGGTCACCGCAGATGATCTTAAAATCGAAGTCTAGGGTGGCTAAGTGCTCAAATGTTTTGCAGATGGTCTCATCAACTGCTGTGGAAGTGTTTGGTGCCCTATGTAAGCATCGGATGAGGAGCTTGCGTTTATTGATGGTTGTGCTTATCCATGGGCACTCAGGAGTTTTATCTAGTTCAGGATTTGAGTAGGTGTTAGTAATAATAGTACTTGATTCATGGATAAGACATCCAGCTCCTTTTTTATAGGCTGTGTCCTGTCTGTATACTCTGCATCCATCGATTGTAATGTGTGCGTCTGATATATCTGGAGTTAGCGAGGTCTCTGTAATCGGAACCAGTGTCGGTTGTTTCAGGAGTATTATGGTTTGAGGGGCTGATATTTTACTATGGATCACGCGTTAATGACTAGTACCGTTAGATATAGGGGGTATTGCGAAAACGAAGACAGATAAGTGGGGTTATTACCCGCTACTACTTCCTCAGCGTACTGATATATATCGCAGTTTTCCCCGGCCCGTCCCAAGCTGTGCTGCTTGTT